GGAGCTGGGCTGCTCACCCGGGGTCCATACCCCTGCAATGGACCCGGCTGACTGGACCCTCCTCCTTCCAGGCACCAGGCCCTCAGCGTATCTGAGCCTCTGTGCCCCTGTGAGCCCTGCCCTTACAGCCAAGTGCTCTGCTGATTGCAGTAAGACGCATGCCACTGAGTGGATTTGTCTTGGGGCCGGGGACGTCCCAGTATGGATATATCCTGGTGGAATATCCTGGAGACAATAGTTCTACCCTAGAGGAGCACACTTTGCTGTCTGAAATGTCCACTGGTGATTCTGGAACATGCCCCTCTGATTAGGAGCTGCTTGATCCTCCCATGGCGCACGGAGCCGGCTGTGACTGTGGGCTCGGTAAATGCCCCGGGTCGGGGGGGATGCTGTGTCCGCTGCGGAGATCGGCCCTGCTTCCTCTGGTTTTGACTCTTCCCAAGGGAGTCTCACAATTCTTCTGGGTTTTGGCTGTGTCCATCCAGATCCAGGCTGGAAACAGAGATACACCCTGCAACAAATTGCCACTCCCTGGGTGACTCACATGTCTCCGCTCTGGGGGCTGGAAGTCAGAACTGACAGGCTGGGCAGGGCCCCGCCCTCACTGAAACCTGCAGGGAGAACCCTCCTTTGCCTCCTCCTGGCTTTCGGGGGTTGGCTGGCCACCCCTGGCATTTTGTGGCTCGCAGCTGCGTCACTGCGATCCCTCTGCCTTGGTTATCACGTGGGTCTCCTGTGCGCCTGTCTTCACACGGCTCCCTTCTAAAAGCATGTCCGCCAGGTTGAATTAGTGTCCCATCCTGCTCCAGTATGACCTCATGTTAACTAGTTACATCTGCCATGACCTTATTTTCAAATAAGGTCACATTTCTAGGGTACTGGGGGTTAAGACTTCCACATATCTTTTCATGAGCTGTCCCTGAGAATTTAAGGAAGGAACTAGTTATGGAGATGTGGTCAAGGTTCAGGGAAACCAACAAGGTGATGCAGCACCCAGGGCCAGCAACAGCCAGGAGCTGTCAACACCCTGACACCTGCAGGGGCAAAGGGAAGGAGCAGTTCCAGAGGGTCACCTGAGGGCACCGCTGCCTGACCGGGGCTGTGGCTTTCAGTGGTGAGTTGCAACCAAGTCACAGCAGCCTGGTGGAGAGCAAACTGGGGGACCGGCTCCTCCGGCCTCACTGTCTGCCTACCAGCCAGCCAGCCAGCCAGCAACGGCTGAACCCGCGCGCGCCTTCTGCGGCAGTCCCCCGTCTGCTGGACGCAGAGATCCGGAGGGCAAGCAGGCACATCCCGCGACGGCGCTTGGCTGGCCGTTCGCCGCAGCGCGTCTGCGCCGGCGGCGTCCCGAACGCCATCCTTCGGGCGGCCCTGGAGCTCCCAACCCTGTGCTCGCAGCTCTGAAGATACCGTGCTCTTCCGAGGAGTGCCCGCACGGTAACAGGGTGTGCCAGGATACGTGATTGCTTTTCCTCTGTGTCTTTATGCTTTCCTACTTGTTCCAATTGAAAAAATTTTGTAGATTTGGGGAGAAAAACCAGAAAACCACACTTATGCCACCCACATGGAGTAGTGAGGTCTGTATCAAGCTCTGCAGCGTCGCTCTGTGGTCTGAGACAGTCACTGGCCTCTGGGGTTCAGTCCTGCTCTGTCCCAGCGCCTCCCCATTCCTGGTCTGCCTTAGGTCGGTCTAGAGTATCGCAGAGCAGGATTACCCTCAGTTTTCTCATCTGTGAAATGGATTTGTCAGTTCTTCTAGTGAATCAAAATTGATGTGAAGACCAAACGAGATATTGGAGGTGAATGGAATGCTCATTGGAGATTATGAAGTGCATACAATGTTGTGAGATTAGTACTACTGAGCTCTACAGTATTTCACAGAAAAAAGTCGCTGTAAAATAGGTCTGGAGCCACAGTGACACCTGGTGGCCATTCCTCATATTGCCAACACTTTCCCCCCTCAATGCTGGCGAGATACTCCATCCTGAGAGGGCAGCTGAGCGTGACTGGACACCTGAAAGCTAGTAAGAGGATCCAGTCAGAGTGATACAAAGGCCCATGGACAGGAATTTCAACTTCAGGGATTTTGGTGTGTGGAATATTCAGTCCTGAAGCTGGGTCCACCTGCAGGTCGGTCTTTGATCCCCTTGGCTGCAGGGCGCCCTCTGCCGGGCCGCAGGGGAACAGCGGAGCACACCCACTAACTAGGGAGGAACTTATTCCCACTCCATTGCTCCGACTTTCAGGGAATCCTCAGGGGTCTGAGGTCTTCCTTCGCTTCCAAGTCCTTGCTCTCCCAGAATGAAGCTCAGTGCAGGTGGGGAAGCGTCCCTCCCTGCCTGTCCACCCCCACCCCACCAAAGGATCATCCCTTCAGGCAGGACATAGGAAGCAGGAAACTCCAGAGCTGCCCCAGGGCTAAGGTAAAGGCCATGGACAAAGGGCGGGGACCTTGTTCTAGGACTAGTAGTTTCTGCATCTGGAAAAGCTTTGAATCCTAGTGAATCAGGAATGCGCCTGTGCGGAAGATGTTACCTGACCTCTGCTTCATTATAATAACATTATAATAAATTAGCATCGTGGGACCCCCTTCTCAGTAGCCAATCAAGGAAATCGTGGGAGACCCACCCTAAGGAATAAAGCCCTCTCGCTCCTGAGTTCGAGGCTGCTCCTACTGTGGCGGCTGCTGCTGCTGTTGGGCTCTTCTTTGCTCTGCTCTGCTCAGAGTTGGCCTGCTCCCATGTTCTGTGTGGCTTAATAAATCTGCTCTTTCTCACTTTCTGCTATAAACTCTGTGTTCGGTTTAATTTTTTGTCCGTGATCACCAAGAACCTGGCGACCTGCGGCCACCTGTGGCCGTCGCTCACCAACAAACTCGCCTGAGAAGAGGCAGAGCCCCACTGCCTGCCTGAGTCTGAGTCGCAGCCAAGCTCCGCCTGGTGTCCGGCCTCAGTGCACCTTTAGGACGGCTGCCTGTGGCTGTGGCTCTGCCCGTACTTGTCCTGAAGCTGCCATCTCTGTCTCTGGCCACCAATCAAGTTTTAGCCTTTTTTTTTTTTTTGCCTCTGTTGTTTCCCCCTCTACCCTAAGCTCCCACCAGCCCTCCAATGATTCTGGCCTGAGAACCCCTATACCATCCCAATCCCTCGACAACAATAACAAAATGTTTTAAGAAAACCCAACCATTTTTTTTTTTTTTTTTTTGCTATCTCTAAGCCTGTCCTGCCTGCTTCTTAGCTGACTCTCCTAAATTCTGGTGCTGCATACTGACCATCAGCCTTATTCTGGATTGGCCAGGTTCTGCAGTGATCATGTGACCTTTGGTATTTTGCTTTTTAAATTAAGGTTTATGCATGTGTGTATGTGTACTGTATGTGTGTTAATTTTGTAAATAGCATGGGTTCAGGGAGGAAATTTGGGTCCTCTTTCATCTATAAATATTAGAAAAGTTTGAAGGTGCAGTTACAATATTAGTGCAAAAAGTGTACCCCTATGCTTCCCAAGATCCCAAGAATCATGAACTGTCTTGTATACGAAAAATTAAACTAAGAGAAACACACATCAGTAACAAGAATGGCAGTTTTAGATGGGTTTTGCAAAGGCTGGAAAGAGGTAGATAGACCGGGGCGGAAGTTCTGAATATTTTTTGTGCCTTTGAATCAACTGAGAAACTTCATAAAAACAGCTGTGCCTGGGCCCCCATCCGACCAATGACACCCAGGGAGGGGCTCATTCCGGGCACCTCCAGGACGGAGAGTCCCAGCTCTGCTCTGCGGCCAGCCAGCGGCAGCTGCCAGCCACGTGTGGCTATTTAAATTCAAATTAATTAAAATTAAGCAAAACTGAAAATCCGATTTCTTAGTTGCATGGGCTACATTTCAAGTGCTCAGCAGCCACCCCCAGCAATCGTGGCGTGTGGCTGCCACATTGAACAACGCAGATGAGAGAACGTTTCCATCTGTGGACGAAAGGGGCTGCATTACTAACCTGACAAGCTCAGGGAGGCCTGGGAGGCGGCCTTACAAACCGCGGGACCAAAGTAACCACACAGGACGGAGTAAAACTAAAACTGACTGAAGGCGAGCCTCGGTGGGTAGTCCCGTCCTTGGGGCACCTTCCCTGGCAAAGGACAGTCTTTTCCTTACCTGGGCCTGTCTATTGTCTTTGTGCATCTATGGTAACACACCTTGGGAATGTCAGGGTGATTTCCTTTCTCCAGACCCCTCAGGGCACAACCCCTGCTCCAGGGCAGAGACCATAAAACCCTCATTGTTACCACGTTAATTGTTGACTGTTACCTATCTTGTACCCATCGATGTAAAAGAAGTCTGTGTCCCCCCATTTTACGTTTTACCCAGTCCTAAAGGTTTCCCCCTCCCTGCTTTGCTTTCTCCCACCTTCCTAATCTATCACCAATGGCTTTCGTGTAATCCCTTCATTGTAATGTATAAAATGAAGTACAAAACTGCCATTCTCTGGAGCATTTTCTCCGACTGTTCAGATTTTGCTTCCCAGCAATTGTGGTCAGTTTGGCTCAAATAAAGTCATAAAAATTCTTACAGGTTTCAACGTGTCTTACATTGACACATCATTGCAGAAAGTTCTATTTGGCAGGGCTGCCCTTAAGGGTTGCCAAGTCCTGCTTCTGTTGGAGGCTGATGTGGGCAAATCCCCCTTAATAAGATGGAAGTGGTTTTCTGAGTGAGTTCCTGCTCGGGCTGATGGCCACAGCGTGTGTGCTGGGCTGGGGGGTTCGAGGGGGCCACACTTAGATCCATTCTGGCTCCTGTTTTTCTGCTCAGTTGTCACCCTTCCAAGTTGAGAAGCTTTTGAAAGTGTGTCCTGGGAATGCTGAGTGGAGACACCCAGAGACCTCTAGGCCAGCCTTGGGGGGTTGAGGGGAGGCGAACATCTCCCACCAGGGAGGGCAGATTAGAGGATGGCTTGTGTGGGCCCTGCTGCCCACCCCACTTCCCGTGCTGAGAGAACAGAACCAGCACAGGCCAGGAAAGTTTTTATTCCCGTCAGGGTGGCCCGCTACCCCCCTGTGGCTAACCCTCCTCTGGGACGTGGAGCTTGTCCTTCACCCCACAGGCCACCACGGCGAAGAAGAACTCGGGGAAGAAGGTGCGCACGTACACTGCGGCCTTGGGGATGGGGTTAGCCATGAACACCTCCTGCTTCTTCCGCCTCACAGTGCGCATCACCTCCTCGGCCACGTCCACTGCGTGCACCCCATAGGCCAGTTTCCTGAAAAAAACTACAGAGCCCCAGGAGGGCAGGGGTCAGGGGGCAAGGCCTCAGCTGGGCGAGCCGGGCGGGGCCTCTGCGTGCTCGGAGATGGGACCGCATGTGCCCAGCCTGCAGTTGTGGGCTCCTGGCCAGCCCTGCCCGCCCCTGACCCTGGGGCCCTGGGGTGACACTTTACCCCTGGGCTCCTCAGCTTCCTCAGCTGTAGAGTGGGCGTGGCTTCCAGCTGGGCCCTGGTCAGCTGGTTGCAGGTTAGGATTCTCTCTATCTGGTGTCTCTGGATTGAAGTTTGGGGGCCCCCCACTCCATTTTGTGCTTCAGGAACAACCCCCCAGGTCCAGTGAAACCCTCTGGAAGCCCCCCAGCTCCTGCTCCTCTGGCTCCCCTTGAAAAGCTCACATTTCCAAATGGAGGCCTCCCAGTTTCCTGGGCCTGGACGGACATGGTACGGCCGGATGAAAGTGGGGCTCACAGTGCTGACGACCACGTCGTATTCCTCCACTTCAGCTCGGAGGCAGTCAAAGAAGCCCAGCACAGCGTGCTTGGAGGCCGCATCTGGAAGAGAAACCAGGCAGGCATGGGTGTGGACCACCCCCTCCCCCGCTTCCCGGGAGGAGCATGGGAGCTGAGGCCCAGATGTGCATCCCTATAAGCTCCGCTGCAAGAGGCCTCCGAGGCCACAGGGCCTGCGCCTCGCTTCACAGGCGAGGAAAAGAAAGCCTCTGTGAAGGGCTGGGCAGAGGCGGAGCTGGGGCTGGATCCAGTTTACCACTTGCCTACCGTGTGGCCTTGGGCAAATCACTCTACTTTCCTTAGGCTCAGTTTTCTTATCTTTAAAATGGGGATAATGTCATCCTTGCCAAGTTGTTGTGCAGATCCAAAGAGAACACGTATGTAAAATGCCCGGCCCAAGCAGGACTCCCCATTCCTTCCCAGGAAGGTGTTGAAATAGGGCAGCTGCTTTGGAAAACTGTCTGGCAGTCCCTTAGCCACTGAAGCATAGAGCTCCCACCTGAGCAATGAAAACATGTGTCCACACAAACACTTGTACTGGACTGTTCATAGCAGCATTATGTATAATGGCCCCCAAGTGAAAACAACCCAAATACCCACCAGCGGATGAATGGATAAAGAAAACGCGGCGTGTCCATGCAGCTGACTATTCTTCAGCTGTACAAAGGGGCAAAGCCCTGACACACGCTACCCCGTGGAGGAACCTCGAAACGCCACGCTGAGTGGAAGAAGCCGGCCAGCAAGGACCTCACATCGCACGGTTCCATTTACGTGAGGTGTAAAATCTATAGTGGCAACTGAGCCGGGGCTGTGCACCCATGTCAGGAGGGTGACCTGCATCATGGCATGTCCTGACCACCCTCGTGTGATTGCCCTCATGGGAGGCATGAACTTCCAGGGGGAAAGGGACCTTGTCTTTCAAGTCTCAGCGTCTCCGGTAGTCACTTGCCTGCCATAGGTGCTCAAAAATAGGAACCGAAGGGATGAGAGAAAAACCAGCAAACCACTTCCTTTCTGGGCCTCCTTCTCCCAGGCAACCACAGGCTTACGCCTTGACACGACACCTCTCGTGTTATAAGATGTACAACATAAGACAAAACGTTTTCATCTTGGCGACTTACAAGCTGTGCGGAACGGGATTCCCAGCTTCCCCTGGATGTTGTTCACTAACACGATTTGGCCTGTCCTCCGGGAGATCATGTTGGGGAGCAGGGCTGGAAGGCGCAGGACAATGAGGGTGAAGAACCTGAGACCAAGTTGGCGGCAGCAGGCAGACCTGTCCCCCAGCCCCTCCCCCGCTCAGGGCTCCTCTGCCTCCCTGGTACCAGGGTGACTCTGGCCTGGGCCCCCAGCCATCGTTCACCCAGTTTTCCTAAGAGTGGGCTGGCCGCAGCGGGTGAAGTGCTGCGTGATTTTCAGGGGCCCGCCCCTGGGCAGGAAGTGACACTGATTTCAACAGTGAGGAAGGTAATCCCTTTTCATTCCCTCGTCGGCTCCAGCAGGAGGCCTCATATTGATTCTGTGTGTCTTGAACACGGCCTTGCCTGTGCTCGTCTTTTAGTAAAGAGGGAAGGGACCTCAGCCCTGTGTCTTGGGAGAATTTACTGTGCACTTTGTTCTGATTTCAGGTTTTCTTTCATTTGTGGAGAGAGAAAAGTTTTTTAATCTATGGTGGCATTATAAAGATTTTCTCCTAAAACAAATTAACAATGGGAAAATTCAGAGAAAGATGTGAAGTAATAACAGTACAGGTGGAATAGGAATATGGCAACAATTAAAAGATTGAACAGTCTGAATGGTCAGTTAAACCAGTGCGAGCATGTCCGAGCTGGGCAAAGTGAGACCTGGAACTAGTGAGTAGATTCAGGTCTCTTAGCAAATGGGAGGCCCGACTGGAAGATAAACCAGCCCGGCCTTTTCCACTGCACTCTTTGCAATCCCCGCTTTGCTGCCAGTGAGCCCCGAACTCTCAGAGGTTAACTGAATGACACAGGTTGGCGTGTCCCCAGGGACTGGGCTGAAGGAAACGGTTATCTCTGGGGCACCATTGCAGAAGCTCTGGGAGATCATCTTTCTGCCAGAATATCGTTTTTTCTTTATTTTCATGCCACCCATTATCATGGCTCTAAAATGATATCTCAGCCTCTACTAAGGAGCCCCACTCCCTAAACGTAGAAATTCTCCCTGCTTGCATTCCCCCTCTTGGAGTTCTGCTTTGATAGATAACCTTTTGTGTGTGTGTGTGTGTGTGTGTGTGTGTGTGTGTGTGTGGTGGGGGGGGGCTTCAACTCTTGGTTCTAGTTTATGCCATTTCCTGCCCCACCCCACCCCAGGCGTCAGACCTGCACTTGCCCTTGGCACTGAAAAATCTCCAAACAGGAACCATCAATGTACACTTAAAAGGGATTCCCGCCTCCCTGTTTCTTGCAAAGGGATCGACAGTATTCTGGGTCCCTTGTACTTTGGGGATTAACCATTTTCTTCTTCAATACTGAGGACTGAAGCTTTACCTTTAAAAAACTGTCATGGTTAGAAGCAGATCAACTGCAAGGCTGATATATCAAAATATATGCAAAGCACGAAGACAATGGTCCAGAGATGTGAAATGGGATTAGAAGGGAGCCGTGGGTATAAATAAGAAGAGAGGGGAAAAGCGAAGGGCTTGGGGAAAAGGCCTCACAGGGCGGGAGGTTGGAATAGACCGGTAAGATACTTCCAAAATCCCTTTTCTTTTATCAACATTTACAGTTAGAATGTTGAAAGCTTCCACCACATCAGTCAGGATTTTTCTGAGGGGGGCTGGAGACTTCACTACAATTGGATGACCATCTGTCCACATTAAAGAGCCCTCTCCAGCCGCCACGGACCCAGAAGTGCAGAGGAAGGTCAAACTCACGAGACCTTTGGTCAGCGTGATGGGCCCGAAGTAATTGGCATCCATGATCTTTTTGTCCAGCTCCAGGGAGATCTTGTCAGCAGGTCCCTTCACCTTCACGCTGGCGTTGTGGACGAGGATGTCCACGCAGCCGTAGCAGTCCAGGACCTCTTTGGCCACGTCCTGTACGCAGCTGACGTCCGCGAGGTCTAAGAGGATCAGCTTTGGGGTGAATGTCTGTGGAACCAATGACACGGTCAGGGCACATGTGGGAACAGCACCCCCTTCAGGCCGTGGGGCCCTTCAGTCTAAAGAGCGCCCCTTTTGAAATTCAGAAAATTGGAGCACATGAAATGACTACCGGAAGTTATAGGAAAACACAGGAGTGACCAGGGGAGGAGGGAAAATGATGCAGAAGGCGTCGTCGGGGACCAGAGCAGTGGCAACAAGGGCAACAGTTCCAACATGCAAATAGGCAGTTGCTCAGTCTGAACTTTAGGCCGCGAGGCCACAAGTAATAAATCCAAGGGATACTGCCCTTCCCAGGGGAGGCTGTGCGCTGGCTCCTGGCTGATGTTGTTGCTGAAAACATTTCTGAGCTTCTGGGAAATTGCTTTCCAAACTGGCTTACAAACCACATTCGGCTCTAAAGAATTTTTTAAAAAATTTTCAATTATACTTGACATTCAATATTATATTAGTTTTGGGTGCACAGCATAGTGGCTAGACATTTATGCAACTTACAAAGTGACCTCCCTGTAAGTCTAGTTCCCATCTGACACTGTATGTAGTTGTTACGACATTACTGACCATATTCTTACGCTGTGCTTTGCATCCCTGTGAGTATTTTGTAATTACCCATTTGTGCTCCTGCAGCCACATCTAGCTTTGTAGCCACGTTTTGTTACCGATCAAAATCATACCCTCAACACGAGACTGGAGCGCCCTCTGTGTGCCGGGCCCTGAGGTCCGCCCTAGGCACTGGTGGCCTTGGAGACTGTGCTTAGAGGGGGATGGGGGGTGGGGAACATGGACGATACCACGCCGTAAATGCAATCTCAGCGTTTACTAAACACTAGTCCTGACATGTACTTGGACAAGAGGGTTTCCTGGTCTAATTTGTTTGGGAAATGCAATCCATTAAATGTTCTTTTTGAAGGTGCACGATGCTCATTAGCCTATCAAAGGCTCTGAAAAGTCCTGCGGTAGAGCAAGCAACCAGACGAGCTTGGCTTGCTTAACTCAAGGTTTCCCCCGCCAGCTGACCTCAGAATCCCATTTTTACTCAATACTGTACCTGATAACATCCCAAGAAACATACCTTGTGGGCTCCATCTTTTCAAATACCCTACTCAGATCTGAATTATTTTTGGCTATTTCCAAAACCCAAATTCAACATCAAGGGCAAAGACTTAAAAAAAAAATATCCCAAAGAGAGCTTTGAAGGCAATTTCCTAGACAGCTCTCCAGAAATGCTTTGAAAACTGCAGTGGCATTGAAATGTGAGCACCTCCCAGGTAATTCTTAGAAGGGGACTTCATTCCAATGACTTCTTTGGAGAAAATATCATTTGAGGTATTATTCCTGTGACCTACCCTACCTCCGGGATCCTCTTTGAATCTGACTTAAAGAGACTGGGACGGGGGTGGAGGGGAGTCAGTGGCTAGAGGACACCTTTCTGGCGTGGTAAGTGATCCAAATGGGGTGACCCCTTATGACCGGTGGACACATCTGTGTCAACATTAAGGAAGCCATTGTCTTACATTCCCCCCAAGTAAGTGTCAGATCTCACCCATATGACCAAAGAGCAGCTCTTGAACACCCAACGGAGGCTAAGGGCACCCACGAGTCTCCCAGGCTGACTGCTGAAGGCCTCACCTTGCTGGGGTCAGCCACGCTGACCAAGGCATCGTACAGGTTCTCTAGCCTCTCCCAGTTCTTCCCGCACAGCACCAGCCTCGCGCCGCCCGTGTGGAACACCCGAGCACACTCTGTGGGGAGGAAGGGAAGAGGGGAGGGTGCACTGTGTGCATGAAGCTCCTGGGGCTGAGCCCCTCTGTCTTACACATTCAAGAATTCAAAGAATCTTAAAGTCTTAGGACCATGAGGTCTTTTAGAGGTCGTTTCATTCAACCCCCTCCTTGGACTGGATTTTTTTTTTCTCATCTCTTTTTCTTTTTTCTTTTTTAAAGATTTTATTTATTTTTAGAGAGCGGGGAAGCAAGGGAGAAAGACAGGGAGAGAAATATCAATGCAAGAGAGAAATATCAATCATATCGGTTGCCTCTAGACTACACCCCAACCAAGGACCGAACCCACAACCCAGGCATGTGCCCTGACTGGGAATCAAGTCGGTGACCTTTTGCTTTGTGAGATGATACCCAACACACTGAGCCACATAGGTCAGGTCAGGGATTTCTCATCTCTAGCCTTAGTGTGGTTGCCTCCTGTGATGGGCACCTCATAGTGCGGTGAAACAGTCCTTCCTTCATCTGACAGCTCTATTAGGACATTCTTCTCTACACTGGCCAGAAAGGTGACCCTTTCCACCGAGGCGTTCGTGACCACAGCCCTAAATGTACCTCAATCTTCAGCTGCCCGAACAGCCAACGTATTTTTCATACCAAGTGGCAGCAGTTTTCTCTACATTGTCTCTGTAGATTAATATTCCAGCCAGGGTTCTTTTTATTAAAAAACTAAACCTGCCTTCTGTCTAGTTAATTTTACTCTGGACTAATTCCCAACTCACCCTGTACAGGACGCTCTCAGTGGGGCAATGGCTGGTAGACACAATACATTCTTGTGTAATAATAACACTGATATTTAAGTACAATAAATGCTGACATATTTTGAAGGCTTACTTGTTCCAGGGACTATTAAAAGAGATGTACAAATATTAGCACATTTAGTTCTCGCAATAACCCTATGAGGTAGTGTCTTCGCTTGGGCTCCCTGGAAGCAGATTCGGAGACGGGGACTCAGGTGGCCAGAATTTACTGAGGAAGTACCCTTCACGGAAAACCTGTCAGAGAGGTAGGCTGTGGGAAAGGTGCTGGGCAAGGATGTGGTCTCCGGTAAAGGCCAGCCTTGGCTGGATCCAAGGAAAGCTCTTGGGTGTAGACCCAGCTGCAGAGCTGCTCTGTCTAGAGGCAAGAGGACCAGACTTCGACACACCTGTGCCAACTAGTCGCTGACTTGGTGCTGCCTCCCCCGGGGTGGGTGCACAGGGTGTTTAATTCCTGGGCAAGGCAATGTCCACGGGCAGAAGGCGAGTCTTTGAGCCGTGGCAGCCACAGCACCTGGGGATGGATGGCCTGGCCAGGTACAGGGAACTGGGGAGGGCACCCCGGGCACCGACTCTGGGGGGTGGGTACCTGTTACTGACCCATTTTACACTAAGCAGTGGCAGGCCTGGACTGGCCCCGGTGCTGAGGGACAACTGGGCAGCACCGGGAGGCTGGGAGTCCTGAGTGCAACGGCTCAGATGCTCTATGGCTGTGTGACACCCTCCTGCGAGCTCAGCAGCCTGGTGCGGGGGGCGGGGAGGGAGCCCGAGAGCTGGGTAGAGCGGCGTTGCGGGCAGGGGAATCGTGGTATTGGACAGAGAGCAGCAGAGGGTGCCGGATCCTGCAGTCTAAGCCAGGCAGGAGCAGGAGAGAAGGCAGGATGGGCCAACTGAGAAGAAAAGTAGAGGTCTGTGCAGTCTAGAGACAGGTGTGGTGGGCGGGACTGAGGGGGGCGGGGAGGGAAGCCGAGGCTCGTGCTGCTGACGGAGGAAAGCCTGCATCAAGAAATAACTGTTGCTTTCCTTTCCAACCTGGACCCTGCAGAATGGCTCTTGAAAAGGAGGGCGGGGAGGAGAAGAAGGACCGCCCTGCCCTCAAGGAGGTCGTGACCAGAGAACGCACCATCGACACCCCCAAGCACATCCCTGGAGAGCGTGTCGGGAAGCGTGCCCCTCCGGCACTCAGGGGATTTGGATATTTGCCAGGCAGGAGATGGGCACTCGAGATGCGCGCACCGGCGCCAGGCCCCGCACAGCTGTCTGGCCTGAGGAAGGAGGGAAGTCCCGCGCCGTGTCCGGGGGCAGCTGTCCAGAAGATGTAATGAGGATGAAGATTCCCCAAACTCTCTACGCTGGTTTCCTACGCACCTGTCACCGCTTTCAAAAACCTACAAGCAGTTAATGCGGATGAGAACTAACTGCTGATTATCAAATGAAGTTGCAAAACTGCAAAAACAAAACTGTTAACAATGTCACCTTGAATTATTACATATAGAGAACAGAAGATTTCTCTAAATGTAGGTATTTTACGGAGAAAGAGGCATGATGATCCTGGATGGCAAAATTCAATGAAGATGTCAATCCGTCCACAGTGAATAGATGCTGAAAATCAAGATTGAACATGTCTTGGAAGGTGACAGAAAGATGTTAAACTTTACTTGGGATAATAAATATGCAAGAACAGCAAAGGGCATTTTGATAAAGAATAATGGGGCTGGACTAACGCCATCAGTTATTAAAAAGTACTATAAAGCTACAGAAATTAAATTAAAGCAGTGGTTCAAGTATAGATGGAAATATTGATTAAAAATACAACCAAGTATTCATAAGAATTTAGTATATCATAAAGTTAGTGTATTGATAAGAACATATTATTGAAAACGTGGTGTTTGGACTACTGGCTAACTATTTGGGAGGGAAAAAATGTACTGGCAATATACCAAAATGTATTAAATACTTAAATGTAAAAATAGAACCATAAAAGAACTAGAAGAAAGGAGAGATGAATATATAAATCCTACTCTGGGGAAAGATATTTCAAGCATGATGACTAAAAGAAGAAATCATAACAAATGATTTATAGATTTTTTTTATCCTTAAAGGAACATACCTTCTATCAGAAAACAAATAAAAATTAAGAGCAAGATATATTGAGGAAACTTATTTATAATACATATGTTATAAGAGGATACATTTATTTGATCTACAGAGAACTTTTATAAATCAGATAAAGACCCTAATAAAGAAATTGGCTTGTGAGATGAGTTAGCAATTCATAAGACAGGTGCAAAGAGCTAGTATACAGAAGACAAGAGTTCAATGCCAACAATACAGAAATGCAGATCAAAATGTCACTCATTTTAATCTATCAGATAATCAAAAACAAAATTGGTAATAGTCACACATTCAATGCTGGTGGTAGTGTAAATTGACAAAATCTTTTAGAAGAAAAATTTGACAGGATTCTTAAAAATAAGTATGGACTTTGACCCAATTATTTCATTTATGGGCATTTATTCTAAGAAGAAAATTTAGAATGACTGCATGGACATAGTTATAATATTGTTTATCTCGGTACCATCATAATAGTAAAGAATTGGAGGTGATTGTAAATATCCAGTATTATAGGAGATTGGTTAAGTAAATTATGGTAAAGATATGTGTCAGATATTGTGCAGCCTTTACAACTGATACTGCAGAAATGGGTCTACTGAAATGAAGTTCGTGATATAGTAACTTAAAAAAAAATTCAGAACAGTGTCTAATACAAGGCCATGACACTTGACTCTGTGGATATGTGCATAATTAGAGCCCTTTACCCCAAAATACAGCAGGACAGAAGTGGATCAAAAAAAAAGAAGGGAGGGGATCTTTGAAGAAAGAATTTTGGGGGAAATACTCTGTATTTGCTCATTTTCTGCACCTTCAAGAGGAAGGCGCCAGCGGGACTCTGTGAACAGCGCGCTGTGAGCTCCCTGAGCCTGCGAGTCCAGGCTGTGGTCTGAGTCAGCCCCCAGAACCCCATGGAGAGACCACGGGCCAGGGCTCCCTGGGCAGAGGACGACGGGAGGGCTGTGGCTGCCCCCCGCGGGCCGGTCCGCATTGTTGAAGACCCCACTGCACAACCACAGTGCACCAGGGCACGAGTTGGTTGGGAGCTATTTTGAATTCTGCCCAGGGGGACCGCTCAGCTGGGCAGGGGCACTCCGACACAGAGGGCTGGGTGGCGGAGACCCTCACTCCCTGGGGCGGAGCCGCGGCTGAGCAGGCGGAGCGCACCCCTGCACAGAAGGTGGGGACGGGCAGTCCAGGGAGCACCTGAGCTGGAGCCAGGAGAATGCAGCCAGAGAAAGAATGAGGCTCGGCTTTCTGCCGTCCCTCCCCCTCACCCCAGAGGGGTCAGAAAGAGCAGCCGTCTGGCAGGTAACCTGCCGACCGGGGAGGAGCAGAGAGGTGAAAGCAAGTTCAGCTTCGATGAGACTGGACACAAACTGAGCATCCCGACGTTTCTGAATCAGTGCTGTGTTTCATGACCACAGGGTGTTGCATGATCTAATAATATCAGAAAAGGCATGGGACTGTCTGTTGTTTTAAAAAGTCAAGATGCAGAGGAGGCCATTTTCCCCCGCGGTCCCCACCACGGCCCTGCTTCTGGCCGGTTACACCTGCGAGCATCAGAAAGGAGGAGCTGAAAGAAAATAGGATGAGGGTTCCCGAGTGCGTGGGGCTCTTGGTGTGTTTTATGCTCTTTTTACCTAAAACATCTCTAATATAAATGGCTTTTATAGTGCCAGAGTTCATCCGGAGGGCGAGAGCCATAATTCGGAGTGGCAGCCACGCAGGGTGTGGGGCAGCCATGCTGGTCGCGGCTTTGCAGACCGGAGAGATGAGGTCCAGTGACGTGAAACGATTTACCCAGAGACCCCGGCTGGTCAGGGGTGAAGCCAGGATGCTAACCCACGCAGGGACGTTCCGGGTGCCCGATCTCCACGCCGCGCTGCCCTCTTGGCCCCTGCCTCTGCTCAGAGAGAGGTGCTGGGGTGTGTCGTCACCTGCCCATACTCTCCCTCCCTCTCATGAAGATCGGCTCCTATTTACAAGCTGGGTGCTGGGGCAGGTGAAAAGCCTGTGGCCAAGAGCCAGACCAAGCCTTTGGCCTTGCGCTCCTCAGGAGAGGCAGCCAGGGGTGTCCTTTACCATCGCCCCGTTTCCCCTCTTCTCTGCTAATACCATGCCTTTTCCGGGAGGGCCCGGCAGATGGAGCCCAGCAGAGTGATCGCTGCTTTGGTCCAGCGGATCCCAAGGGCACAGTCCCAAATACGCGGTAAATCGTTTCTGCTAATTCAAGGCGCGTCAGGTAGACGCAGATGTTCTTATTTTTATTCTTCGTCAAGTCGGCTCAATACAGCATTCGTCTTGGTCAAGCTAGTGGGCACCAGACTTTTCCTTTTGCATGGAGCAAATGTCCACGGAGCCCTCGCGTCCTAGAGGCCCTTGGCTGTAAGATGCTTCCTGATATCGGAGACATTAAAATGTAGACAGATGGCCTGTGACTCTTGTGAAGTGTTGGTGATCGACTGAAAGGCCATCAGCTCGAATTCAGAAGTGTTTAAAGACGCGTGACTCCGCATCGCAGAGGGGGTGGAGCCCAGGCAGGGCTGCGCTCTCTCAGGTACAGTGGCTAAGGATTTGGGGGTTACTCTTGCTGCAGAGACAGTGGGTGCAGGGAGACTCTATTCTCAACTTGGCTGAATGGTGTCGGTTTGGGGTGGGCGTTAGATGTCCTGATCTTTGGCTATTTGATTTCCCTAGTAAACAGCTGGGCGCCGGGCTCCTGCTTGCTACCCGCCGTTTGCTCAGGTTCCGCGGGACCGGGGCGTGCTGTGGACTATGCACAGCCTGTGTCCTCTGCTCAGGGCCCCTCCCTCTTTCCTTGCCTTGGACCTGAGAAATGGAGCTGTTTGAAACTAGAATCACTGTGGTCAGCAGCAGGTTCTGGCTAGGCCCTTATTTAAGGTCACGTACACCCAGCTTCTCGAGTTACTTCTAAATACTTGGACTTAATTTTTTTCTGCTTTGCCTTTCTTTCCAGGGTGGGTCCATAACATACAGTGAAAAAGAGCAGTGACAGTAGTCACGACAGAGGCTAGACACAGACTCTGAAAGGGCCATTCTGCCCAGGAGACGTATTCCCTGGGCACCTGATTTGTGCCATGTGTGGCATATGAGACTTTAAAAAAAGTAGTAAGACCATTAAAACAAATATACAGCTCTCAGCAATAGACAGAACAGTAGTTCTAATTAGTGAGACAGAAAATCAGGAAGGAAATGGACTGCACAGCCGCCCTCCCCGGCCTCCCCAGGATCTAACCGACCTGTGCAGAACACTCCACCGCCGACAGCAGGGGGCGCAGTCATGTCTAGCACCCAGGGACCATTCATCAAGAGAGCGCATATCCTGAGCCACCAGGCACACTCAACAACTTTAAAAGAATTGAAATCATACAGAGTGTGTTCTGTGATCACACTGGAATTTAGTTAAACATCAATAAAGTAAATATATAACAATACACTTACCCACATGAGTGCCTTCTCTCATCAGATGGCCACTTCTAGAAGCTGTTCATTAAGTAAACTTTTTTGGGGGGTACTTACTACATGCCAAGCTTTGCACTGGGTGCTGGGGATAGCATGGTGTAAACAGAACACAGCGCCAGCACAGCGGGGCTGGTGTCCAGCAGAGCGGCTAGAAGCACACAGATGCAGCCCAGTGTGAGGAGCACCCTGGTGGCGTGTGTTTCTATCAGGAGCCACGGGAGCCCGGTTCCTCGGGGACCTCCCAGGTGGCCTGGGAAGACTTCATGGTAAAGGGGCCTCCTGGTGGCAGCTGGCCTCATGCCATGTAGCCTTGTTCTACTTGAATAACAAGGGCTCCCCAAAGACTTTGCCTCTGAGCGTCTGTGGCGGGTGTCTCTGCTCCCATTCCCCAGGGCAGCCACTACTTCCTGTTGTCTGTGTCTGGTCTGGTTGACAAATGTGTATGTCCGGGGTCACCCCTGGAGAAGAGGGAGTGCATGTCCCCCTCCTCTCTGAGAACCGAGTGTAATGATGCAGGATATGCTCTGTGGGAATTGCTTCTGGGACCCACGTGGGGGGCACTCAGAGAACCTGGTTTATCTGCCTTATGCTTTAAAAAAAATTACACAGTGAACCCAAATCGATCACCCACTGAAGTGGCTCCCGTCATCAGAGCCACGCAGACCGGCTCCCAGTGGGATGCCCGAGAGAGTGAGGCTCCGAGGGAGTTCCCACACAGGAGCTTATGAACGTTCTCAGCGTGGCGGCCCCGAGGGACTCGGTGCCCAGCCCCCCAGAGCGGCTCTTTGGAAGGGGCAGTGCCCACCCCAATACTCGGGATGTAGTGGACTCAGTGGACACTTGTTAAGTGACCTGATGGATGTTTGGCAGGGTGCATTCCATGTTTCATTAACAATAACAAAACAGCCTTGGCCGGGTGGCTCAGCGGGTTGGAACATTGTCCCACACACCATAAGGTTGCAGGTTCAATTCCCTGTCACCGCACATGCCTAGGTTTTGGGTTTGATTCCTGGTTGGGACAGGTATAGGAGGCACCCGATTGATGTTTCTCTCTCACATCGATGTTTCTCTTTCCCTTTCCCTTCCTCTCTCTAAAATCAATAAACATATCCTTGGATGAGGATTAAAAAATAATAATAACAAAACAACAGCAAAAACTATACCCAAGCGATGTAACATATGGGGCTGCACTGGCATGGTTAGGAATGACGGTCAGAATCTCACAAACTCAAGGACACCAAGCTGCAGGTGGCAGCTGGGGGAGGGCCCTCCGAGGCCGTCTAATTCAGGGGCTGCAGACAGAGACGCCTGTCAGGCCAGGAGGCGCCGTGACCGAGGAATCAGGCTGAGTGTGATGGAGTGCGGGTCGGCGGGGGTGCGGCCCCCTCGGGCACGCACGCCCATCATTTTACCCCTGCTCACGCTCGAGTGGCACCCACCACGGCTCCACCCCTGCTCTGAGACCTCCATCTATTAATTCATTTATTCCTCACAACAATATTAGGAGGCAGAGCTCACGGGCACCCTCCCTTTACAAATGAGAAACCCAAGGCAGAGAAGAGAAACCACCAGCAAGTAAGTGGTAGAGCCAGGAATTGAACTCAGCTCCCAGGTCTGGGCTTATATCCTGTACACTGCCCCACATTTCAAAATTTCGCATTTCAAAATTTCTAGAGACTCTATGAAAGCAAAATGAGCCTGCAGACCACTTAGGCTGTGACTTTGCTGCTGCAGATATTTCGGTGCCCTCTTTTCTCAGGCGAGGAAGCTGTAGTCTCCAAACAGAAGATTTGCACAATGTGTGACTTGCCAGTTAACAAGAGACACTAGGAGAGAACTCAACCTTGACTCCCCACCCACCTAGCAGGCTTGCATGCAGCCCACGCTGCCACTGCTCGTCCCTCAGGGCAGGAGTGGGAACCAGGGGGTGAACCTAGCTTACCCTTGCCCAGTCCCGAGATGGCATCGGTGATCACCACCACTTTGTTCTGCACGGCTGACTTTGACCACAGCCTGGACACCTCTTGGTAGATGAAGAGCAGACCACTGATCCCCAAGAGCAGCAAAGGCAGGATGAGCACAGCTGTGACCCCCATCTTGTTCTGGGGGAAATGACGAAAAGGAATTGGCTTTGCAAGGAGACCCTCCGCTCAGGACACCGGGGCAGGGGCGGCGCGAGGCTGCAGGGTGCAGGCACTCATGCACCAGGCCCGGAGCGTCCTCTCCAGGGAGCTGGGCTCTCTGCACGCCCCAGGGCTGCTTCCGCGCTGAACACCCTGCTAATCCCCAAATGTCCGATGAAGAGGAAATTACTCACGGTGTCTCCGAAAGCAAACCGAATCCAGGGGCTTGCCCTCCCGAAGGTTAATTATAAATTTAATTAAAATGGGTCTGCATTTTTGGAAGGAAATCTATGTGTTAAGGCCACTTGCTGGGGCCCCAATGGCTATTTATAGCTCTCAGTGCACTAAAGGGCTTTTCAGGGTAAATATAGCGCCTATTCTGATATTCAGAGACACATGCTGGCCGGGTCTGGTTTCAGAGTACTTGCCAGGACTTTTAAAGCTCTCTGGCTTGCCCGACTATTAGAGGCTTCCTCTGCAGGTTGAGGCCGGGCGTTAGGGGTCAGGACCTGGGATCTCAGCACAGACATCCTTGCCCTCACTTCCTGTGACCCTCCTGCAGGTACCCCGGACCTTGCGGCAGCGAGCCAGCTGGCCTCCCGTCTGGCTGGGGATAAGAAGCCTGGAAAGACTGTTACCCAGAATGGAGCCTGTTGTAGAGTGAGCCACTTGGAGAAGTGACCTGAACTATGAGAAAGAGCAGAGTCTGGGGAGGGTTTCCCATGGGTCACGGCGATCCGCCTGGCTGAGGCTTAGCTTCCTCATCTGCAGAATGGGCCTGACAGGGTTACCTTGCAGGCCTGTTGGAAGAGAAGGCAGTGCCTACAGACCTGTCTCACAAGGAGATAACTATTGTTACCTTTATTAATGATTAAGAATATTAAGGGTTTATCCCAAATGTTAAATATTGTAATTAAACAAGGGAAGTCAGAAGGATTAGAACTGGGGAGCCATAGATAGCTAGTCTCCAATTCAAGTGACTCACAGCATCAAAACCCAGGAGACCTGTCAGAATGACATCCTACTTTGTGTGGAAAGGGTCGCTGGGCTGAGGGGGAATTGCTTGGGGAGGGGGAGATGGGAGTGGAGAAACTGCATTTTTTCCTCGGAAGTTAAGACTGACTAGGAACATTGAACAACAACAACAACACTTTAGGACATTTCTTTTATTTAAATAGATTCACAAGTTATTACTGTCGTGCTGAACAGTACATTTGAAAGATTCAGCCATATTGTTGCGTGATGTTGGAGACCTTTATTTCATTGGTTGAAAGCATGGCGCATGTTTGGTTCATTCTTCTGAGAATGGGCGCTTGGCTGATTTTCGCTACGGGGCTATTACAGATAGTGCTGCTGCAGACACACACGGCTTTTGGTGACGGGGACACTATTTTAATGTGAACATACTATGCTTTTTGGAAGGCGGAATAAGAAATTTTGGCTCTGATGGCCTTCATGTCAAACACATGGGCTGAGAAAAGGGAAACGAAGAGGCGAACGCAAAGTCTGCCCTGCTGCCTTGGTGCCAAGGATTCCCTGGTATGTCACGTCACACCCACAGGCAGGGATGGGGGTATTTTGAATTCATTCCAATTATGAGTTAAGAAACTTCAAGAGACCATTTTTTGGAGGGACAGCTTGCCCTGGGGGGCTTAAATATTATTAATATTATAATGTCTCCGTACCAAGGTTGGTTTGGTCAATAGAGAAGTTCGTTGATCATACTGTGCAAATGCGGCCGCTGCTGTGAGTGAGCAGTTTACATGTTCCTTATTTGAAGGTAAGCCCACGAAGGCACAAGATGCTTTGTGAAGGAGGCGGTACCTGGGTCCGCGGCAGTGCAGGCAGCAGCCTGCCTGTTTAAGTCAATGCCCTGACAACAGTCACCAGCGCCCAAGTGTCATAGCAGCCCCGCCACCTCTCCCGCACAGTCAGGCAGGCTGCTGGTGTGGTTTTCTGTGCCGCTGAAAGCAGCGACTTGTTGGACAGCATTCCACCCAAAGACTAGTCATCATCCCCAGATTTCAGCTTGATGTCTCCAAAGATGATTCAAGCTGTCCGTACCTACCATTCAAAGATTCTTTAATTTATTTTTCAACCACCGTTGTTGCACAGCTATTATGAGCTGGGCAGTGTTCTATGCCTAAGGAACACAGCAGTGAATGAAATGAAGGCGGCTTTTTAACCTCTTGTGTTGGGAAATGGGTGGTAAAGCCACGCGTACTGTATAGAGTGCCAGAAGGTGGTACGTCCTAGAAGAGGAGACCACAATCAGGAGACCCTGAATCTGTTGTGTCCAGGCAGGAAACAAATTGCTCTGGGTGACTCAAACGGAGAGGCTTTCATGGAGGGGCCTCCACGAAACCCTCTCGGGGATGGATGAAGGGAGGGGCACTGTAAACCCATCACAGGGCTATGGAAGGGTTAAAGAAAACAGGGGCTGAGAGGGCGCCCAGGAGCCCTCCCTACATCCGTTCCTGGGGAACTTCTGCAACTGTGATGCAGGTAAGCAGTGGCGAGGGCTTCGGGAGTGTTTAGAAAGTGCAGCAGATAAGGTCGGGCTGTGCTTCCCTGGGTTGGACAGGGGAGCGTAAAAGAAAGAGAGGAACAAAATTTACTCCAGGATTTTGACCCAAGCAACTAAGAGGACAGAAGTGGTTTGTTTGTTTGTTTGTTTTGAGAAAGGCTGGGGGTGGATGGCGGCATTAGGAGTTTGGTTTTTCCATATGAATTGTGAAATCTTTGTCAAATCTAAGTGAAGGTGCTGAATGGAGAGGTGGGTACACCAGCCCGGAGGTATGCCCAGGGGAGGGGTCCCGGCTCAGGAGACACGTTTGGGAGTTACCACAGGTAGGTGGTGCTGCCAGACACGCAACAGGATGAGGTCACCTAAGAGCTGAGTGGGGGCAGGGGACTATTTGAAGACTGAGCTCTTGGGCCTTCTAACATTTAGAGATTGGGGACTTGAAGAGGAATCAATGAAGGAGACTGAAATGGTGTAGCCAGTGTGGTGGTGGAGACGCAAGAGAAGGGTCCCAGGGGTCAAATGATGATGGTCTTTTCAGGAGGCAGATGACCTTTTGTTTTTGATGCTGCTGATGGGTCAAGTAAGATAATAAAATCTGAGGAGTGGCCTCAGCTATAGCAGCATGGAGTCGTTGGTGCTGTGGACAGCGCCATCTGTGTCAAGATTATCGGGAGCACTCAGTTCCCCTTCAGACTTACTCTCAGTGGTCCCCTAATGAGCCAGCCCTGCAGAGTGGTTCATGATTCACTCGAACCCCCTACACCGTCTTCTCTGAAAGCACAGTCTTCTGCACACCTTGATACAGTACTTGATAGCCTCACCAAGTCTGAAAGATGCTCAGAGCCACAAGCCTAGAAGGACCTTAGAGCTTGGATGAATACCATTAGGCAGTTTAGGGCCCTAGCGACTGGGAAGAGGCAGCACAGGGCAGTGGGTCCCCTGGCGTGGAATCATGTTTGCACTCAAAGTTCTCAGGGGAGCTGTAGGTGTGAAAAGTCAGATCCACTAAGGGCATGGGGGCTTCCTATTCTTTCAACGTAGCTGCCAAAGATAAGAAATATTCCAACCAAAACACTCCAGTCAGTCTACAAAGGGATTCTTGCTCTACTGCCCAACTTAGGAAAGAAGGCTGAAGACTTGCCTAACCTTGAAATAGTGGTATTTTCTAGTCCAGGGACTGAGAACTGAGACTCAGCAGTATGAACGCCTACACAGGGTAGAGGACTGTCCTGGGACACCTGGGATGTGAAAGCCACAGTCTGAGTCAGGGCGAGCCCCAGCCTGCCTTCTCTGGAGCCTCTCCAATCTCCTTGGCTCCAAGCAGAAACCACACATGGAACCGAGTCTAGCTTTAAGCCAAGTGCAGCTTCAAGTTGCCCTAATTCATCTCTGAACCAGAGCAAAGTGTTCTCCCAATGGCTTCCTTGCAGCATTCACAACCCCTTTGCTTATAAGGTGCCCCAGGCCCTGCCCTTTGACAGGCCTGCCCAGGGAGAGAGGACGCGAGACGAGGATCTGTCTCCACTTGGCCCCGAGAAAGGCAGCGTGATGGGCTTGGAGTCGGACAGAAATCTGTTCTGCTTCTGACTTGCGTGCAGCCTCTGGCATACAGTTAGACCTTCTGAATCTCTCAGCCATCGTCCAGGAATGGGGATGCTAATGCTCTTACCGTCCTCACTGCGCCACGTGGAGAATTGGGGTGGAAGCGGCGAGGGGCTCGTATACGATGCCCAGGGTGGGTCGTTTCCCCCTCCTGCCTGGTGATTTCTTCCTAGTCCGCGCTGGCCCTTCTCATTGCCTTCTGCCAGTGCGCATCACGGCCCACTCCTGAGGCCCCTGGGCAGAGTTCTGAGACGAAGGATGCCAGGCTCAGTCAGGGAATGTGTGTGCACACATACTTTTATAAAGAGTCAATTGTTGGATCGCTATTACTTCCGGCTGCTCTCGGGGGTAAAACATAGGTCCTGTTAGCGTGCTCCGTCTTCCCAGACAGGCCCAGCACTTGTTTGCTGCACAAAACTGCTTCCTCTTCTGATCTCCTTCTGGGAGGGTGGGTGCTCCCAATCCACGGAGACACCCAGGCACAGGGCTGGGCCACTGCGGAGGAGGGGCAAGGCTGGGGCATGACGGCGGGGTGCCGGACTAGCCTAACGTCTAAAAAACGTCTGGGATATTCACCCTGAAAAAGGAAAGGAATTCAGGGACGCGCTATGACATCGATGCCCCTTGAGGATACTATGCCAAGTAAAATAAGCCAGTCACAAACGAACAAGTACAATATGATCCCACTCATACGAGGTACCTAGAGTAGCCAAAATCATAAGCAGGAGCTGGTGAGTGGGGAATGGGGAGTTAGTGTTTCACGAATGTAGAGTTTCAGTTTTGCAAGATGAGTGTGCGTGGACGGAGGGCTGGTTACACAACAGTGTGTGTGTACTTAATGCCCACTGTATGTGGAGTAATAGTTAAGATGGTAAATTTCCTGTTATGTGTATTTTATCACAACAAAAATGGGGAAAAAAAGGGTCTTACCTTTTTTGAAGAGACAATCCCAGTATAAGATGATGCTGCTCCTATAAAATGTAGAGACCCACAAGGCACTTTCATTTGTAGTTTATGAACACATCTATGTGTAGTAAATATGCACAGCTGTGCAAAGAAGGACCCCTGGGAGGCAGTTGCCTCTTGGGAGAAAGCGTAGAGCAAGAGCTGGGAGAGGAGCGTGAGCGGTTAATTCCATCTCTTACATTTATTTCTTTTCTTTTTAAAAAAAGATCTGTGGCAACCATGAAAAAGCCTTTATTTCTGTTAAATCTGACGGGTGGGTACGTGCATGTCTGTTATATTACTTTATATATATTGAAATATTCCCCAACTGAGAAGAGAAAATAAAATAAACAGAGAGAGACAGAGAGAAGCAGCTGGATGCTGTCTGACATTCTCATGACCTCATCTGATCGCACTAATTCTATTTTCAAATTGCTGTCTTCTTTTCTTCCACGTTGTAATGGGGTGAAAGACGTCTCTCTCCTGCTTCGTGTGACCGTTTGTAAAAAGCTGTGTTTTTTTCATGCCTCGCCACGCTGTTCTGTCTTTCTGACGCAGCAGTTGACTTGACAAGAGTGAATAATATTGTCGGTCAGCCATCTAAGCGATGGAAATGTCCGTTAACCTTTCACCTTGGCTGTTTCCCAATCTCCCCCAGCTTCCCTCCTGCCACACAACACTAAGTCATTTGTGTAGCTGGCCCCTTGAGGGCAGGGGCGCGCTCTCAGTCAGGCTTGCATCTCCATGACACCCACATTGGGCTTTATATAGACATATGTACAGTTGAATGGATGAAAAATGTTGATGTGAACAAACATGACCAGTCTCACTGAGTAGCCGACTCACTTTATTCGGGTCTTCTGAGAAGTCCCTGTCGGCCTGGACCACTGGGTGAGGCCGGCAGACCAGTCCCCAAGGGGCTGGTCTGTGACAGAAATGTAGCTAGGTTGTCAGTTCCAAAAAAACAGTCAGTAAAACAGATTCTGAACAACTGAGTGAGGTTAGGGCTGAATTCACCAATTCTGGAAAAATAGTTGGCTCAGTGGCATCAGACGGCCGCTTTCTCAGTTACTGCTCTGTGGGCACCTTGCTAGTTCTTGCCCATCCACCTTGAGCCAGCTGCCACCCCTCTTTGCCACCCACAGTGTTTGAGGAGACATCACCCCTTGCCTCCTGAGCTCCCCGAGCCTGGTCGAGGAGGATCTGGCCGCCAGAGATGGCTCCTCCTCAGGATGGGTTTGTTTGCAGAACAGCTGACACTCCGGAATCTCCTCGTCTGTCGGTGCAACAGCGGGGCGACAGACACAGACCGGTTCTGTAACAACTGACCCCAAACGGGCATTTTGCTAATACCAGAAAAGGAAGAAGGTTGACTCCTTACTCCTAAGAGAAGTGGTGTAATACATGGAATGTTGTAGGTACCTGGTAAGATTCACTGAATGGTTAGCTAAGGATGGACAGCTTCCAGGCTAAAAACGGTCGGTGGATTTGTGCTCGTTTGATCATGACTTTCTGTTGGACAGGGTCACTCTGATTTCACTACTGTTCCCCCAACTCACTGGCAAGGGCTCAGGCTCTATCTTGTTTCCTTATATACTTGTGACACCTGACACAGTGCTTTGCACACGGCAGATTCTAGCAGTTAATCCTTCCACTGGGCTAAATTGCAGGCATTGTTCTAAGACCTCCACATATACTCACGCACTTAGGCCTCACAACCCCTCAGATAGGTAGGACTGTTCTCTCAGTTCGCATATGAGAAAACTGAGGTGTAGAGACACAAGGGACTTGCCCAAGGTCAAGATGAGGCCTAGGAGTTAGATTCAGGCAGCCTGGCCCCAGTGTCCATGTTCATGATCAAAAGCTATATCATTTCCCACAAAATACTAAAAGAAGTCTACGTGATAGAGTGTGCTTATACTCATTTGGTAGATAGATTACATATATACACATATACACACTTCCAGATATGCCCATATATGTGTGATTTTCTAACCATTGTTCTATATGCCGGGGAGGCAGGGTGGTTGGTGCACAAAGAATAGTTCTTGCCATAGAGAAATAATTGACAATCTGTAAGAGGGAAACAGATATGTAAATAAATTATCTCAATATACCATGGAATTAAAACCCACCTGGGTCTGTGTTACAGCAAAGACAGATAAAACGAGGTGCTTTGCTCTGTTTCTAGAACTGGGGTGCGGTTCCACAGCTACACTCACTGAAAATTCACTAGGCTGTACACTCAGGAATGTGTCTTTTCTCTATGTATGTTACACTGTCAGAAAGTCAACATTTAAAAGCTTTAAAAGTACCTTGGAGCCCAGTGGACGTAGCAGAGGATGGGTTTCGTGGTGAGCCCGGCCCGGTCCCGGTGTGGAGCTGCCCCTGGTGTGGAGCTGGCCTGGGCTCCTTTCTCCGGGAGCCACCTGTGCCCTCTGAGGACGTCAGCTTCCCTCACGCGGCTTCAGAACACTCACTGCCTCCTTGGCAGCTTCAGCTGCGTTCCCCACAGATACGATTTTTTTTTTGAGAGAGAACTAAGTGAGGGTCTGTTTGGAAACATTTCCAGGGTGTGTCCTTCTCTCTAAGATCAGACTCTGCTACAATGTGAGAGTGGCGCAGGGCCTTCCGCACAGGTGACAGGGCGGTGGGTCACAGAACAGAACGTGCGCCCTGTGGGGGACAGAGGCCACAGGACACAAACGCTTATGCTCTAGGTGAAGAGATGGCCCGTGGTGGGGGCGGCCCCAGCATGCCTTCTCTGTATTGGGCTTATTCTGGAAAATTTCATTTTCCGTCTCTTCCAATAGGCTTCATTCAACAAAACACAGAATTCCATGGGGCATTATCTGTCAGGCAGGTGCTCGACCGGAGCCTGGGCGGGAAGAAATGAGCTGGAGTTTCCTCTGACTCAGTGACAGTATACAGTTCAGCATAAGTAGATTGAGTGATTTTATTTGAAACATTCAGAGTTTTTTTCCCCCCAGAAATGATGCGTTCACTAAACACATAAATATATTTGTTAAACAAATCTGAGCATATTTAGTGTTGTAGAATTTGGCAGTCCACTTTTTCCCCCAAACTCCAAATTATGTGTCTAACAACCCGTGGCCTCAATAAAATGTTAACTTAAAATATAAGATAAATTTATACAATATTGTAACTGAACACATTAGGGAACATGCAGTACCCCACTGCTTCAAACAAGACTGGCACAGTTAGCGTTGTTTATTTTTAGAAGCAAAAGTGACTGGCAAGTTAAGCACAACAATTCGAACATTTGTTCCACTTGACTGAGATAAGATATCATTCCATTCGACTGTTCTCATTTTGTTTTATCATTCAGTTACCTTGCAAACTGATTTTACTATAGGTAGAAACTGGAACATTTAGAAGAAAAAAATATTTTTTATTTTTAAATTCTCACCTGAGGATGTGTTTATTCATTTGAGAGAGAGAGAAAGAGAAGAGACATTGATGTGAGAGAAAAACATTGATTGGTTGCCCCCCATTCATGCCCCAACTGGGGATCAAACCTGCAACCTAGGTATGGGCCCTGACCAGGAATTGAATCAGCAACTTTCGGTGAGTGGGATGAAACTCCAACCAACTGAACCTCCTGACTAGGGCAAAAATATTTTTAAAACAACATAAAACTCATTTTTAAATTCCTATTTTTTCCATTACAATTAAAAAGAAAGTATGGGATATTTATACATACTATCAATTTGTGTGTGTCAGTTAAGGAAAAAGAATTCTGGATTCCTCAGTTAACAAAGTTGTGTGGGCAACACATGTTATATTCTTCGTAGTTAAAGCTTTGCTTCCCCTTTCTTCAGATTTTCTTCTCTTTTTCTTTTTCTTTTAGATTTTATTTATTTATTTTTAGAGAGAGGGAAAGGGAGGGAGAAAGAGAGGGAGAGAAACATTAATGTGAGAGGGAAAAATTGATTGGTTACCTCTCGTATGCTTCCTGACCAAGGACCAAACCCACAACCTGGGCATGTGCCCTGACTGGGAATCGAACTGGTGACCTTTTGTTTTGTGGGACGTTGCCCAACCAACTGAGCCACACTGGTCAAGGCAGCTTCTCTTCCTCTTAATGCGCACATGCTCCCTCTCTCTTTCGTACACTCACTAAAGTCACTGTCAGGAAAGCTGGAGATGTGCATTTAAACTGGAGGGTCAATGACTGACATCGTCTGTCAGCCTTCTCTCCTTTCAAGAGGCTGGAATGAGAGGCTGAAGCCAAGGGGTTTAGAGAAGGATGAGATAGTGAGTGGAAGCTTTACCTGGACTCCGCCTTCGGCAGCCCACCCCAGAGGGGCTCATTGTGGACATCAGAGCCCGTGCAGACCTGGCAGCCACGAGCGCCGCTAGCACACGGACGCCTTGACTGGGGCACCTGGTGGCAGGTGCTCAGAGAGACCCACCAGGGCATGCCCCGCAAGGCTGCGAGCAGCTTCTGTTTCCCAAACAGCCTCCGAGGCCTCTGGTTCCGGGAAGCTGTGTTGAGGGTGCTGAGTGCCCTTCTGCACGGAAGTAAGACCCCCAAACGGAGTTCTTTATTCTTATGGGATATTTACGCCAAACTTGGATAATAATTTTTACCAGGCTACCGTTTATTGAGTACTTACTGTATACTAGGTACATTCTTATTTAGTCATCACCATAGCCTATTGAGATATCTGGCTTAGAGCAGTCAGGTAACTTGCCCAGGGTCACACAGCCATTAAGTAGCAGAGGGCTGACCCCAGACCGGATTTCTCCACAGACTCATGCCTAACATCTCTACTAAACTAGGCAATTTCTGTTCTCAGAGCCTGTGTCCTCCCTCCCCAGGGTTGTGATAAAACATGCTGATCACTGTTATTCACCATCCATGCCTCTCCCCTTTCTTTTCATCAGTCACCCAAAGCATCGTCACTTCCCCCAGTGGGACTGATGAACTCAGTGACTTCTGCAGTGGCCCAGCTCTCCTGCTGAACTGGCCAGTGGCAGGAAGGAGCCGGACCGAAGCCTCGTGGCTGGCTCTGGGCAGGCTGTGGGTGGCATGCCTGCTGCAGTGACGCTGGGGCACCGTGAGGACGGCCACAGCGGCATCCACGTGGAATCAGGGGAGCCCAGAGGAGCCGTAACTCAGTCTGGAGCCCGGAAGGATGGCACCTATCAACGTCAGGAGGATATTCAGGACCTCGGCCCCGATGGACAGCCGCAAAACACCTGCAAAAAGTAGGCAAGACAGAGATGCTGAGCACTTAGAATTCAGCAGAATTAGGATATTCAGTCCTTAGGTTAAGTTCACTTCTAAGACAAAAAATAAACAACAAATGCCACATGGTGAAAACCACAGATATCTGATGAATCTTGGAAATATGGCGGTGAAAGGGGGCTCCTGGGCTTGAAAGAAGAGTTTGTAAAGATTATCCTTTGCTGGAAAGAAGGAAAATTAAAAGAACTAAAGCAAAACTCTGATGTGAGTACATGAGAGATACTGGGGTCTCCATTCCACAGTTTCAAAATGAATGTATTGTTTTGATTCCACCAGAATACATTGTCTTTTTAAATAAGCACCTAGATGAACTTACACAGGGGCAGAGGAGTCTGAGAGTTTTAAGAGCCCTGATTAGAGATGCCAAAACCTTACTTGTTTTTGTGTGGGCCAGTTATTTACCCTCCACATGGGATCTCACCTGTGGCCTCAAGGAACTGGGTTGGATGTGGCGGGGAATGGAAAGAGGGGAATAAAAAGGAAACTAATATTGGTAAAGGCCTCCTATAAGGCAAGTCAGGAACTGGGGACACGGCAATGAATGAAACAGAAGTGATCCATGCCTATACTCCAGTTGTGGAAACAGATACTAAGAAAGTTAATACAAATTGGATGCATGTTTTAAAGAAGAAAGAGTGCAATGGGCAGTGGTCTGCCAGAACTCATCTCTTCTCAACTCTGCGTTCACCTCATATTGACAGCTTGAAATTGGCCACTGTGGGAGTATTTACACCATGGAAAGTGGCAAATGCTACCAGTCTGGGCTTCCCCTTCACCCCCACTCAGCAGGGTTGGTTCTTTAACATTTTCTAGCACCACTAACTACAGCACACAAGAAGATACCCAGTGGCTCTAGCTTTTGGACTCAATTAACGAAAAAGAAAAAAAAGCCTATCAATAACTCTCTCATCTTTCCTCCACCCCAACAAAAATAATAAAAATTGTCCAAATTGTGAGAAGATCTGGTGGACAGAAGATGAATAAGGTAGTCACCTTGTTCTTCAGCTGGTATTATACTCTGGAAACTCCTGCACTTTTCACCTAGAAGATAAAGAAAATATATTCATAAGTAGGGTAAACCTTGACAATTAGGGGAAAACTGTGTTCCTAGCTCCTAGAGTGTATCCCAGGTCATTTTGAACAAGGATTGGGGAGTGTGGGGGTCTGGTGTATTGTTCTCAGGTATGTAGCGCCCCCTTCCTGTGGGAACATGACATAGTCCTGCCCTAGTAAAGCCAGGCTTGGCCACGTGACTTTCTTTGGCCAATGAATTGGGAGCAGAAGTGAGGTGGGTCACCTCTGGTCAGAGGCTTGCAAAGTCACTATGTTGTCCATGTGGTTTTCATTCCCTTGCCTCTGTGATGGCAGAAGCACATGTCCAGATAAAATCTGCATCAGCTTGGGTCCCTGAAGGGCAACAGTGAGGAGACACTGCTTGTCAACCTGAAAAGTACATATAGAATGAGCTACAAATGAATTGATTGGTTTCAGTCGCTGGGATTGGAGGTTGTTTGTTACTGCAGCAGAACCTAGCCCGTCTGGACTGATACTGCCAGCCTTAGACCAGTCGTAATCAGCTTCCCAAACAGCATTCATTATGATACGCGTCTCAAATAATGTTTCTGGTTCGAGGGAAAGGAACAAAGTTAGTAATGATTTTTTAAATGAATTTGAAGAGATTTCAGAACTCTCTCTCTTACTCAGTGACCCAGTTACCTGCATTCCATCATGTTGTCTGGAGTATGAAAGGAAAGGGAGGATTTATTGAGCATGCACCTGGCACTGGGCAGAAGCCACCACCAGACTTGTTTTGCACACCTGGGGGGAGTGCTTTGCCTTTATCATCATCAGGTTGTACACACTGGCTGGCGAAGCTTGCGTTGCTGCCTTAGATCTGCAGTGCCTTTGAAAGACCTGAACCCATGAATATCCACTTAGTATATAGATGTAACCAAATTCTGGTTTGGGGGTGAATGACAGAGGGAGAATTGAGAACAGCAACTCACCCAGTGGGATTCTGTCCCGGGAGGGAACCCCACTTTGTCTCCGTGCATATCAGCCCCACTTTGAACCGCAGGATGTACAGAGGGAGGAGCCTGGGAAACGGCCTGGTTTTTCCCTGCCTGGTTTAGGGGAGCGCAACCAGAGACCTCGGAGGCAAAATGGCTGGTACGAGACACTCAGGCAGGGACTGTCTCGGCATTGGAACTCGGGTCTGCAGGGGCGCAGCCCGATGCTGTCCTGCGGCACGGACTGGACACAACCCAGTGGACAGCAGGGAAGGTGCCAGGGAGACAAAGTGGCCTGAGACACTGGGAGCTGCTCCCAGGCTGGGCTGGAGCAGCTAAAATGGATTAAGGTGCAAAAGCGAAAGGGCACAGGTCATCAGCTCTTCAAAGGAGTGGCTTCAATAGTCCCCACGTGAGCCTTGCTTTGCAGGTTAACTGAGATAATAGACAGAAAAGTTCTCTCACAGTTAATATGCACTAAAACCTTTTTGGAATAAAGTGGGTTCTATTGGGCAAGTACGGGCATACCTTGCTTTATTGTGCTTCATTTTATTGCGCTTTGCAGATACCGTGATTTTTACAGGTTGAAGGTAAGACCCCCTACCAGCAAAAAGATGACAACCCGCTGAAGGCTCAGATGATTAGCATTATTTAGCAAAAAAGTATTTTTAACTAGCATATACATTGTTTTACAGACATAATGCTATTGTACATTTAACAGACTACAGTATAGTGTAAACATAACTTTTATATGCACCGAGAAACCAAAAGTACTCACGTGGCTCACTTTATTTCGGAATTCGCTTTACTGAGGTGGTCTGGAACCGAACCTGCGATATCTCCTAGAGGTCGTAAACCTTGACTTGCCGGCTCGTCCTCCACAAGCGGGGCCCCACTCCTTCGCGTTCCCCACAGTCCCTTCGCTGGGCCTTAGGAAGACAAGGAACAACGCCTGAGTTTACAGGGCAGCCGTTTGGCGGGGCTGTTCTGCTGGGATATTTTCCGACTTGCCTGTGCAGCAGGAATTCATCTGTCACGTAACTGTCCCGACAAGTGGCCTGAAGGAGGGTAAGTGCACGGCCGCAGCGGAGGCCACGCTCAGGGCTAATCTTCAGCCGCAGGGCCTCACGGCTTTTCATTTCAGTCTACTTCGGACTGACGTGATTGGACTTGTTTCCTGGTCGATCCTCTGATCTTGGCAGCAGTGGTGGTATTATGATCCTAATAGCAAAAATGTGTCCTTGTCCCTCAGTTCTACCAGGGAGGTCCCCACAGCGTTGGGGAGATCTCAGCACTCAGCCCTGCTCTCCCTGTCCTGTGGGGCAGAGGCGGCCCTTTCCCTGTGGCACCTGCTCAGATCCTCATTGCAGCCCGGCGAGCCAGGCCGGCGGTGAGAGCAGCAGGTGGACGCCGGGGTTGGAGTGCGGCACCTGCATCCGAAAGGCCTGGCTCTTGTGCCTGGATCTGCCACAGTCAGTAACCACAGCACATTTCTTGACCTCTCTGAGCCTTGCCTTCTTCGTCTGCAAAACAGGTACAATAAAAGTCCTCCAATGTGAAAGTACAGGGTCCAGCACAAATAACGCCCCTTTTTTATTGCAACATCTTTTATTACAGAATCATAAGCATGTAATCCTGTAACATAACAATATCACACTCAAGCACACCATATGACATTTTAGGTGAAATGTTCAAATTAAAACTATAAATTATTACACCTACCCATAGTATTACACCTACCCATACCCTACCAACCACACTCAAGCAGGCGTTACTTCTGTTGGCCCTATATTTTGAGAACTGCCTTACACTTGTCTTTGTGTCTAATTATTGGTAGAGGCAAGTACAAACATCCATTTATTGCAATTTGATGGCCGGGGTCGTGCAGGGTGGTAGAGCCAAGAACTGAAGCAGGGTTTTCCCACCTGAGACCCATAGGGCATGGACAGCTAAGGGTCTGCCTTGCCTTCCGAAGAAGGTGCCTTTTCTTGTAGGACTAACGCCGAAGCCAGGTGCAGAGCCGGGGCCAGGCGGAGAAAACGAGGTGGTTAGCCGAGGAGATAAAGAGAATTTACAATAGCTTAGAAGGGTGAGTTTAGCCCGGGTGCAAACGGTCAGACCATAGTGGCCCCTTGATGCCTATCAATCCCCAGAAGCGGTGTCCCTTCTGAATAAGGCCGGCAGGATTAAAAAGCAAAATCTTTTTAAATCCCGTGAAGCCAGCGTGGCGGGTGCTGCATAGCCCGATGGTGCTCGGCCAGTCAGGCGGTGCAGCCAGCCAGCCCAGGAGCAGGCGCCCAGGTCCCCGGAGGTCACCTCTGTCCCGCCTCCTTTGCTTGTTCCCCCTCCCTTTATGGGGGGGCCCAGGCCCCTCCGCCCTTAAACTTTTTGAGTTTAGCAGAGCAGCATAGATCGGAAATGAACAAGTCTCGTTGACCGATTCATTAGCCTAAGGAAAAGGACATTTTGCCTAAGTGCTGCCTCAACCAGGACTTTGATTTCGAATGCTCATGTCAGAGGGTGGACTTGAAGGTGCTGCCTCCCCTTGAGGCATGTCAGGCATTAGGAGGGAAGTGACAGGTGACTTGTGCAGAGGCTGTCCTGAAAGAGCACCTCAGGTACGGGCTCCCAGGGAGGGTCCTCTTCTAGAGGTCAGAGGCGGAGTTGATTCAGAAGGAAAATATCCCGGGAGCCTCAAGCGTACCCACCCTCCTCCGGGTGGAGTCAGTCCTTCCTGCCAGGGCTCCCTAGCTCCCCTTGCACCTTCTGACCCTCCCTCTAAAGCACTGCCGGGGTGCCCTCCCAGGCCCCTCCACATCGCCCAGCCACCTGGGATAAATGAGACAAAACAGCAGATGCTTGTACGGAGTAACCCCCTTCCCCCGTGGAGCCCCAGCTGCACTGGGAGGCACACAAGTGTTCTGTGCAACATCTCCCAGCCCCTGGGAGAGTTCCCGGGGAACTCCAGGTACCTCTCTTCCCCTGACCAGCCCAGGCCCTGACAGTGCTGAGCGCACAAACCCACATGACCCTAAGGCTGAGCTGAGCAAGGGGCTGCCCCTCCTGTAGCTGAGGAGGAGATTTCAAGGTCATTGGCATTCCCTGGCCAGCCCTGCTCCATTCCCTTTCCTTACCTCCTGCAAGCATTTTCTTACAACCTCTGATGTATTATACCTTGCGTCTTATCCTCTTACATCATGTTTGCTGTTATTTTTGTCGGCATGTGGCAAAAAAGTAATCTAAATATTTTGCTTGAGGGGTGTTTAGTAATATGTGAAGGTGATAATATTCTTCTGGGGGAAAAGGCGTTCTGTCCTCCTTCCCTCCTTCTACTAACATGATGGCACTATTTAGAGCCCCCGGTTTGCCTGGACGGCCTTCTATTAGGAAACATATGAAAATGTGAGTAGAGACTTTTTAGATCGATGGTCACAAACTGGTTTGTTGATCACTATAAGACGATGAATTGCTCTTCAGTTAAGTTTTGGGTATGGTGGGGTACGAGGCAAAGTTCAGGCTAAGGGTTAAGAAATTTGAGTTGCCTGTCTAGTTCTTCAGTAGCTGGCTGTACAATCTTCAGTGGGGCACTTCTACCTCCAGTTTCACTGTCAGAAAAATGTGCCTACTGTTCTAGGTCACTTTTCCAAAGAGCGTTCCACAGAACACTGGTCTCCCCAAAATATGAATCCTTATTTTACATAGGAATTTTCTGGGGGAAATACAGCAACAGGTTTCTTTATTGTGGGAATTCTCAGATATTTTAATGTACTAATGAACACGTGAATTTACACAAAGAAAATGTAATAGGCGACATTTTCCAAATTTGTTTGACTATTGAAACTCTTTCTATTTAATTTTACAAAGAATATCTCAACAAGTATGTCTGTGGAGTAATCTTTGAGTAAACCCAGCAAGGCACTTATTAAAGTCTCTTTCTGGCTTGACCTCAAGTATATAAGATGCACATAAATCAGAGGGGAACTCAGTACATTCTTTGTTTCTCCTTGGCTGTGCCCATGAATCATGGGAACATCAGCCCTCCTTGGACTGCAGCGTGTGCTCCTGACTGGCAGTGTTTGAAACCTCTCTGGGCTGGGATCCACGAGAAGGTGGTGTGTGTAGTAAGCACTCCACAGACTGGCAGAAGCACCAAGGGGAGCCTTGTCTTTGGTGGATGACGCCTGAAAGACCCTTACACTGGCCCTCACTGTGCTTTTGGCCCGGGGACAATGGATCATCTACCCGCATAGTGTTTGTGTAAGTGTCTTAGGCATGTGCCCCATGCAGCCAGACAGTTCACAGCTGCGCCTGGTCCTCCCTGAATCTCAGAGCTTTGCCATTGCAGAAGAGGTACGTTTTCCAGTCCCACCCTTTCCGCGAGCCCCACCCACGAACGCCCTTTCTCCCGGTCAGTCTCCTCGTCCCTGGGGGAGCAGCTCCGTGTCATTCTCTAACTCTTATCCTCGAGGTCAGGCTCTACTCTGGCCTTGCCTCTCTGACGTGACAAATAATCATGCCTCGGGTGTTCTCCCGCTAGGCTTTTTCATCCTAGGGCCCGTGGTCCCATTCAGTCCCTTGTCCTGGAGTGACCAGGGCCTTATGCTGTGGGGGAGGAGACGCCACCTGAGGTGGCCCCGAAGGGCCTCGCGAATGAAGCTCTGTAACGGCCCTTCCCCCTCTCCCCCGCTCTGTGTTCCGACGCCAGCACCGGGGCCTTTGCTCACTCGGTCATCCGCCTGGACTACCTGCCTGCCCAGCCTCCTCCTATGAAATCACAGTGCTGCTCTGAGGCCTGTGCAGGGGCCACCTCCTCCCGAGAGCTTCCCTGCGCCCAGGGCTGCAGACCGCCTCTCCCTCCTTTCCATTCCCATATCGTGTGGGAGTCTTGGCTGTAACAACGACCGTGTTTTTCCTTAGTTTTATCTCAGTCCTCACCGCTGTGGTCAGCTCGCCTCTGTGCCCCTCATTCTCCTCATCCTGTGGCTGATGTGGGGATGGCTTGTAGCGAAGTCATTCCACACTGCAGTGGGCTCCCCCTTTCCGGAGGGTCTGCCGTACCCAGGGGGATGGAGGAGCTTATCAGAAATACAGAGAATACCAGATAGAAAAGAAAACAGAGGAGTAGAACAACAGTGCTATGAGGGTGGGAAAGGAGAAGGTAATGAGAAATTCCAGGAGAAAACAATAAGCGGTACAAGAAATTCAATGCAATGATAGCGCCTCCCTGAGTTTGTTATGAGCAATATTTATACAGTCTAAATAAATTGCTGGTTTATGGATTGAAATGAAACATCAGTATACCTATATTAGGAGCATAGCAGAGCAGACGTGGAATGTGGTGGCGTGAGAGGTTTATCCCAACAGAAAGTCAAGAGAATGTTTAGCATGAAGACAGCAGTGTCTTTGTAAACATAGACACAACTACCAGAAGAAACAACGAAGCTAAACATGGTTTCCCTTGAGGGGTGGGACGAGGTGATGGAACAGGAAGGAGCAGAGGACTCTTCGTTTTTCTTTTAAGCCTTTCAAAGTGATTCGGTATCTATGTGCAAATGGTACCTTGGCTACATCCTTTTTAAAGGATGCAGATGTTTAGGCCCCATCCCAGACCCGTTCAGTCCGAATCTCCGGGGCCAGGCACCCGGCGTCGGACAGCCTTGCTGGGTGACTGTGATGTGCACTCGCATTTGATAACCGTCGTGACGCTTACATGTAGCTATGGAAACAGAAGCGGGCCGTCGTCAGGTGGGCACTTGGAAAGGAGGTGGCAGTTCCCGAACAATTTGCCTGTGGGTATTTTCCAAACCAAAAATCTGGGACTGTCTTGGAGACCCTGCAGAAGGCCAGTTTGAGCCTCCCGTGTCTCATGAGGGTAGAGAGACACAGGCAGGGATGGGGAGGAGCCCCCAGCATCACCGAGAGTCCCCCTCCTGCCTTGCACTTGGACCTCAGGCAAGAACAAGCAATGCTCTGAGTGTGAGACAAGCGGAGGCAATTAGAAGCCCCAGAAAAACTGTAGAAGAAGCTGTAGAAGAACCTAATGCAGGAAGGCCGGGGCAAGAGAAGTGAGATGGCAGGTCGCTCCGTTCCGCCTGGAGGGGGCGCCTCGGCAGCAGGAAGGGGAGCCCATCCAGACCCGGAGCCCAGGCTTGGGTTTGCAGCCCCGCTGCCTGTGCTGAGGAGTCCAGTCCTCCCCCGATCGCCCCCTGCTCAGCTCTTTAGGAGGTAAAAATACTCTTTTCTGAAATACATGCTCATCCTTCCCTTTCGTCTTCTCTCTCCTCGTCCTTTACTATTTCCCTCTCTGCTAATCTGTCAAACTCACAGAAGTTCTGAACATGTTGATGAACCCGGGCTGAGTAATGTGGGCGGGAAGGGAAGGGGCTTGTCAGTTACATGAGGTGAAATTCTCTGAGCCTCAGTCTCCTCATTTCTGAGATGAGGAAATAATTTTTACTTTGTTGGCTTGTTTCAAAGAGAGCCAGGGATAAAGGTGTAACTTGTTAAGGGTTTTGCTTCTGGTAGGTGCTCCGCAAAGGGGCCCCCTTCCCGTGGATGATGTTAAAGATCTGTTTTCTAAGAGAACCTTCCATTCCTAGACCCCTTACATGTGCAGGGGTTCAGTTTAATGAATATCGACACTATGTCAGGCACCATTGCAAGTGCTCTGTGTGCATCCGGTCATTTAACCTTTATACTGCTATTGTTCCTATTTTATAGATGACAGAACGGAGGCTTGGAGGGGCGAAGGGACGCCCCCAAGAATGCACCAGCGGCAGCTCTGGGATTCAAACCCAGGCCGCCTGCTGCGGGCACCGGCCTGCACCTGCCACCCCGGAGCCTGCGGGCCATGCTCACCTGCGCTGTCCCCGGGGCTCTCCTTGTGTGGAACCTGCACCGGATGAACTTGCCGTCCCCCATCCCCCAAAGGTACTGGACAGCCTGGCTCTCGTTGTCCCTTCTGCTGTTGCTGCTGCTCCCGCTGAAATGAATGCAGTGCAGCTCTCCCGAGCGTTCCCGACATGGAACCACCCTCGGGGGTCCCCTCACACCAGCAGCTGCTGCCCAGGGCCGTGAGGGAGAAGGCCAGGGCGAGGCAGGTGGGGAGGAGGGCCAGTGCGCCGCTGCCGGGCCCTGTCCACGGGTGAGGTGTGCAGGCCGCGCTGAGCGGTGAGCCCCTCCCCCGCCGCTCGCCTTGTTTCCCAGCCTCCTCGGCCCGGCCCTCTGGCCTCCGCACGGTCTTCTGTGCTCTCCCGGGGGCCTCGCTGCGCGGCAGCCCTGCGGCCGGCCCGGGGCAGCCGTGCCAGCGCCTGCGGCCTGAGAGGCCAGGGAGGAAGCACACAGCTGGGGCGGCTCCCGTCGCAGTCCTCCCCAGGATGGAGATGTTCGGAAGAGCGTTGGTTTTCCTTTTTTTTTTTTTTTTTTAATGTAGTGAAATATATACAGTGTAAAATGTACCATCTTAGTCATTTTAAATGCACAGTTAAGTGCATTCACATTGTGCAAAGGTTCTCCAGAACCCTTGTCATCTGGCGAAGTTGTACCCAGGCGTCTCTAACTCGCCATTCCCCTCCCCCCCTCCGCCCCGCGCCCCGCCCCCCCCGCCCCGCCCCCCCCCCGGAAGCCACCACTCTGCATTCTGCCTCCGTGAGTGCCATCACTCTAGGTGTAAGTGGAATTTGCCTCTTTATAACTGGCTTATTTCACTTAGCTTAATGTCCTCAAGGTTCATCCACGTGTACTCATGTCGGAATTTCCTTCCTTTTAAAGGCTGAATTATTTCCCATTGAATGGAGGTAGTCTGTTTTGTTTATCCAAACATCTGGCTTGTTTCCACCTTCTGGCTGTTGTGGAGGGTGCTGGCTTTGGTGGAAAGCCAGGGGCGGTTTGGGTGGGTTGCTGAGTATAGTCTCCCCACCCTTGCCTTTGGCATTGAGCAGGGCCCTCGGCCTGGGATCTGGGGAATCTCAAGGCCTGCACAGCCTGTTCCCTGCCCAGCCCCACGGTGGGGGACCTCCTGTTTGAGGGACTCGAAGGGACTCAAGGTTCGGCGGCCTGCTTCGGGCCTACGCGCTCTGCAGAACAGGGCAGGCTGCTGGCCCCACACATGGGGCAGAATTCAGCACCGTGCTAGAGCCTCGAAAGCTGGCCAGCAGAGCCCTTGGCCCTTCACTCGGGCCCTTACAAAGGAGGCCCTGCAGGACCGGTGGCACGAGGGAGACTTACATTGCTTCGTGCGCAGAGGACATTCATGAAGCTGTGAGGGCAGCTGAGCAGCAGAAGGTCCCACGTGGCATCTGAAACATACAGGTTCTTGATCACATGGGAGGTGCCTCCTGCAGACCCCCAGGTATAACCGAGAATCTACCAGCCTGGGCAGCTGGGCGGGAAGGGCGGCAGCGCTTGGGTTAAAATCCCTCGTCCGTGCTTCCCTGCTGGGGAAGGCTGGGGAGAGGTGCTGGCGGTCGCCTGAGAGCCCTGTGCACTCCGTTTGCCATGTTTTATCACTTGATGGCCTCCATCCAACCATCAGAAAAAAAAAATGTTTTTGAGAAAAAGAGATTAGAGCAAATATTCTTACTAGGAAGGCATTTTAAGCCAGCCTTAACTGTGCAGCTACAGAACAACGTTACAGCCACATGAAAAGGACCGGGGCCCGTCACTGGGCATTTTTCTCCCTCTGTGTCACGTCGTCCTGCTCTCTGTTGTCCCAAAGAGCTGACCACATTGATTCCAAGGTCACATCATCAGAAGAGTCCACTTTGGAGGTCTTTGTTTGTTATGAGCATTCATGGCTGAGGTTTAAAATCTTGCCACATGGAGTTCTTAACACTTCCAAGGGTTTCTATTAAGTGATTGACGTGCTCTTGTTTTTCTCCAGCTGTTCAGAATTCACTCAGATAAGTTAACTAAGAGAAGCTCCTATGGTTCAGCTTGAATGGGACATGTTCTTTTTACCTCTTGCTGACCTGCATTTCATCTGGTCGGGATACGTTCCCCTGGCCCTCCAGTGTGGGAGGCTGGGAAGACTTGGAAGGGGATGTGGGGAGCTGGACAGAGAGAGGCAGGGTGACAAGGGCTGAGCAGAGCCTTTCAGAAGCGCATCGATGAGACTACTAGAGAGATGGCACTTGCCTACAGATTTAGGGTACGATAAGGCAACTCACCAAATAGCTGCAGCCAGGTGACCCTGGTCAGAAGAGCTGGGTTAGTATCCTGGCTCTGCCATTTACTGCTGTGTAGCCTTGGACAAGCAGCCTAACGTTCTGAACCTCAGTTTCTCAGCTGTCAAGTGGAGAAATATCACATCCTCCCAGGGGTATTGTGAGGATGCGTGAAATAGGATGTCGGAGGCAAAGCTTTTGTAAATGTGAATTGTGATGAGGAAGTACAAATATAGTAGTTAGTAAGTAAGGGATGGAGCGTGTATTCCACAAAAGGATCTGCCAGGTGGGCTGAACGACATGTTCAGAACAAGTGGGCAATGAAGAGGAGTGCGTGTTTGACTTTTCGGCGTGTTGTTTTGCTTTTATGTAGACAGAACTCAAGTCTCTGACTGGGCTTTTGCTTCAGATCGTGGGTCAGGAGCTGCTCTCCCTGGGACCAGGCAGCTGTTTCTCGTGAAGACTTGGCAAGACAACCTTGGTGGCTGGGCCCAGCCTGGCCTGGACAATCTTAATGCCTTAAGAAGAAACGTCTCCCTTGTGAAGACGCCCGCCTCAGAACTGGCTCACAAGGTCCATCCTCTCGGGCTGGCTGCTCCTCTGCAGCTCGAACCCAGGCCCGTTGCACCCTGGTCTTGTGGATTGAGCCAGTCCTCAGGGTGGAACCTATTGACCGCCCTGCTTTTCCTCTTCGGCCTCTGCTGAGGACGTCCCAGAAAACACAGCTGACTCAGGGGAGGTCTGGGAAAAATCTCCCCGGCTTTGCGGGGGCCGGGTGGGGGCTGAGCCACTGCTGATGAGAAACTTTGGAGATTCAGTAGATTGGTCTAGACTGGTTCAGACACTCTTGACGCGGTGTGGAGAGGGTTTGTGCAAACATTTCCTCTCTGCACAAAGAGGAATGCAAGGGGAGGCTGCCTGTGGTACATCCTGGACTGTTAGACAAGTGTGCCCGCCCCTGTGAAAGTGCAGCGAGGAAGGCGAGGCCGACACGGAGCGGGGCAGGGCCTGGGTCCGCGCTGCCCACTCGCCTCCCCGCTGCCCGGGGGGCCAGCCTCTCCCCTCCCGCGGGATGTGCTCTCTCCAGCCCCCTGCACGGCCCTTTCTCGCTCTGCTGCTTCTGGTTTCCATCAAACAAGTAAGAGCAGTTTTTATTATAATAATAATTATTATTATTGTTATTATCAGTTGTACATATTTTATGATTACAGAAGCAATTTAGGCTTCTTGTAGGCAATTTAGGAAATATAAAACAGTATTAAGACAACGATTAACCATCATGCTAGCATTCAGATGTAATCACTGTTAATATTTTGACATCTTTTCCTAAGTCCTTTTTCTATGCTTTTTTTTTTTTTAACACAGCTGAAATGATGATGCCTAAAACATTTTGTACCCTGCTTCCCCCCTTACATTATGTTACGGGTGTTTTCCCGTGTCAGTGCACACCCTGGAAATGCCGCTGCGTATGGCCCGCCCTCTGCGTCTACCCTGGTCTCACATGTGAGGCTTTGGGGTGATTGGATAGCGGTTTATTTTTTTCTTTCCTTTCTTCTTCCTTCCTTCCTTCCTTCCTTCCTTCGTTCTTTTTGTTCTTTCTTTTTATTATAAGAATATAGGATGCTCATTGTTTTAAAAAGTAAACTTATAAAATCCAAGGAAGCATGAACAGGGACTACAGCTCACTGTCATGCCACCACCCAGAGATCACCCTCATTCACATTTCGGGGCTCACGCTTCCAGACATTTTTCTAACATTTATTTACATACAGTTTTTTTTTTTTTAAAGAAACCAAACAGGTTCTTACTATAAATATTGTCTTACAATCTGCTTTTTTTCTGAACAAAATACAGTAATAAAACCCAACCAACATTTTTTTTTGAATGCTTACCACACGCCAGGGGCGGTGCCAGGCGCCTCCCTTGTGTGATCTCACGGCACGCTCCCGGCAGCTCTGAGGGGAGCTCTGTTAACTCCATTTTGCAGAAGATAAAATGGAGTCTTGAGGAGGTTGAACATTTTTTAACATCACTAAATGTAGCTCCATGGCATGAGGTTCATGGGCTTCAGGGGCGTATTCTGATGTATATAACCATTTTCTTTTGTTGGGCACTCTGGTAGCTTGTCTTATTCTCATCCAAGGAGCTGGCACCTTTGCTCCTTCCTTTTCCAAGGTTCCTTTTTCGTCCTGGGCCATGAGGTGAAGGACCCCAGCTCCATTCATCTGAGTAAGGAAGGTGCCTTGCGGCATGTTCTCTTGCTCCTTTGATGTGTGGGCAGAGTTGGTGGCTCCTCGCAGACTGGGAATTCCAATCCCTTCTGCCTCTACGGGGGGTAGGTGCTGGGACGCCAGACCTCATGTGGTCACCGTGTCAAGCTTTCTTCAGTGCTAGCCCAGGATCAAACAGGCATAAAGCCCCGACCGAATTTTCTGCATCCAAATTCTCTCAAAGGCTATCTTGAAGTCCTCATAGCAGATTGTAGAGGTGAGTCCAATCGATGGTTTCATGGGCTTCTTGCATGGGGGCAGCCTCTTGGTTAGTGACCAGGACGTTTTTGAGGGGCAGGCAGCCCTCACCTGCCTCCTACCCCAGGACTTACTTGGCTAGTAGAGGGGCCGTTGCTGGGAAAGTTGACATGAACCCCTCACCCCTGCTTCAATTCTCTGTCTCACATTAAAACTGATATAGGCAGCCAGTTATCTAGTCTTGTTCACCTTCTAGGCACAGCTATGGACAGACGGCCGGTTAGGTGCCAGGCGCCGCTGCAGAACTTTGCCCTTGTCGTAAATCGCCATGCTTAAGCCCCACAGCAAGCCTCTGAGAAATGTGTTATTACTATGAACCCATTTCATAGACGGGGAGGTTAAGCTTCACAGGACTTGAGTGATCGCCAGTGATCCTGCAGCTCAGAGCCGTGGAGCCATGGCGTCTCTGCAGGGCATTTGAGGGAACATGTTCTTCCTTAGCATTCCTTGGAAGCTGCTGACCTATCAATATTTACATGTTAAAACAGCACCTCTGCAGCGCCCCTTGCCAGCTTAGACAGGGACAAAACCACACCTTCACTCCTTCGCTCTGAGACCTGCATAATCAATAATGTGCCTGCTGGCTTGTCCCGTCCCCGCTCTGCCACTCGGCCTGTTTTCAGAACCCCGAGGCTCTGTCTGCCCCACAGTGTGTCTGCAACCCTGATGGCCCCCTCCTGGTTCTCCAGATGTTTATATCACGAGGCTTTGTGTAGACTTTCATGGTGAATTTTGCTTGTAGATGCTTTCCTTGCATGGATTATAAATGATCATGGTGTGTTTTCTGGCAGGAAGGCTTCATAAAAATTCACTTAATGAAACATTCTCAGGGACAGTTTTGTTTCCAAATCAAGCAGGGAAACGATGCTGTGGTCTCGCTTCTCCCCGCCCCCCTCACTCGCCCTCACGACTCATGCAAGGTAGTTAGCAGTTGTTTGGGCATCAAAAAACATAAAACTCTTTAAGGCTATTCGAGAAGAGAATTAGTGGTTCTTTCATACATTGCTGATGGGATTGTAAAAAGGTACATATTTTTAAATTTAAAAAATTATTTTTGGCCAGGATGGGTAGTTTGGCAGTACATTATCAAACCCTTTAAAAGTGTATACATTATGACCCAGAAATCCCAGTTCAGAGAATTTCTCCTAATAGAGATGTGCTCAAACATTTATGAATATTTTCATTGCAGCATCATTTATATTAGCAAATAGCTAAAACAATACAGGTCTCCAAAGCTAGAAAATTAAAAAAAATTAATGTTATCACATGTATCCCTAGAAAATTGTCGCTATTAAAATGGTGTTCTAGAAGAATAGTTCTTGAAATAGAAATATATTCACAATATATCTTCTAGTGAAAAAGAAGCTACAGAATGATAGGATTTCCTTTTTGGTTGGAATGAAAAGGAGGAAAAGAATGTCTGCGTGCAGAGATGATAATTTCTGAGTAATAAGATTGTGATTTTTATCTTCTCCCTTTTTGCTTATCTATAGTTTTAGTCTTATTTACAATGCAGTATCTTCCTTCCATTACACATAATATTAGAAGATATATTTAAAGAAAGTCAACAAAATGCTTTTTTCCCTGTTTTCCTGAATCCCTTCTTGGCCAAGTTAGTCACTGATGTTGTTACCTAAGCAAGAAAAAGAGGATCCGAGCCAAGCGGGGCTTTTCCAGTTAGAAGAACATGCAGTTGCGGACGGCTTCTCTCATTATCGTGTTTGCGTCTGGCTGTGACCGAACTTGCATTTCCCTCTGCCCTGTTTGGTGTCTTTAGGACAAGTACCTGGGAAGATATTCTGAGTTTTTCTGGCTTTCCTAAACTGACCAAATTCAGTGTTTCTTATGGTTTGTATTTTTTTTCCTGTTTTTGAGGATGGCCCTTAGTCAAGACAAAGAGCAGGGGAGAGGGGACTGTTAGTCCAGGGACAGCTCGCACATACGACACTGATCTTACTGTCTCTTCCTCAGTGAAGTCGCCAAAAATGCACACAGCACTTTATCCAAGAAAGGGCCTTCCTTTTGTGACTTGGCAGATTCTGGAAGTTTACAATTTGTTTATCAACTTCTCTGTTAAATTTGTAAAACTAATATAGAGTTAGTTATGGTCTTGTTAGGATGTAAAGCATTCTCATGTGTTCATAAACTCTCATCTTGTCTCTTGGGCCATAACACAGAGATATATTATTAACGGAGATTCAAAACTCATTGGAAACTGAAACCAAGGGATAAACGTCAATGATCTAATCATCACGATCACCATCATTATTATTCATTGGCTAATCCCATGGTCCCCAAACGGTGAGCTAAGATGCCCCAGGGCGCTGCTGGGAATTCACAGGGGCGCTGTAAGATAATTTGATTTTTTGAGGGAAGCAGCCATCCATGACAGCCGAGTGAATTACCAGCTGGAGGCAGTTCATGGTTTCAACATTATATCATGCCACACTGCTTTTTGTGGCGTTGTATTTTTCTGAAGTTGCCGTGATAGAAAGCAATCACTGCATAAAAATCAATGTGGAACAAAGGTGATTGTGTCCAATCTGAGCCTTAGGTTTAAGAAGTTGTACCAAGTTGTTAGGATGTAAATACTGTGTAAGTCTGTGGGACCTACCTACTTAATAAGCGGGACTTTAGATACTTCTTTTGGCTTCGGGGTGCTTTGCTTCAAAGGCATCAGGAACTGAGAGAGTTTGGGACCCTCTAGTCTCATGATGGCCATACTTGTTCTTCAAAAAGTTGGCTGTGTGGTTCTCTGGGAGAAATGCAAAGGACACGTTCCCCATGATGCACAGGCCCCATCGTGAATGGCATGGTGCTGGGGGGCGGGGCAAGCTAGGCAGAGGCCGTAGAGTAGACTAATTACTCAGGAGGTGAAAACGGGTTGCCTATGAAGCTCAGACTTTTTTTTGCTACTTGTTTTGTTTTGTTTTATTCAGGGGGTGTGTGTGTGTATGTATGTGTTTGAATACCTTTAGGTGGAGCCTCCCCCAATTTACAATAGGCTCCCCTGGCTTCCTGTTGCTAAACCTGTCCTACTTCATTCTTTCAGGTTATCTGCCTGGCATTTGATGGTGAGAGGAGACAAAGGCACAAACAAAGCCAACTAATTAATGGTTGATTTTAGCCCAGATCACGTATTTAAACCCTCCCACGTTCATGCCCCCTTCCCCTCCTCCCACTGCCCCACCCACCCCTCAACCACGCTTCTGTTTCTTTAGCTGGAAAATGAGGGAGAACAAGGACGACGGCTCCAGCCCTGTTCTAGGGCCTGGTATTTAGGGATGAAAGGCACATCTCAGTCCTCAAAGAATGTGTCGGGTAGTGAAGGCAATGGTCAAGTGAGTCACCGATGACAGTACAATGTGATGGGCCAGGGGACTCAGTCACGTGTGGGGTCAAAAAGCACTGAAGAGGAGCGTTACAAGCTCAAAACTTCAGTGAGAGAGGTGGTCACGTTGGGCCAGGCTTGCTGGGCTTGAGCTGGGCCTTGGGCAGCGACTGGGGAGTGAGCCACGTGAAGATGAGGGTGGAGGGGACGCCTGGGGGAAGAGTAAAGCTGCGAAGACATGAGAGAGGGCAACTGTGGGCGAGCGACTTGGGACTGGGGTGGCTGAGTTAAACCTTGAGTCAACAAGGCCAAGAAGGCAAGGCTTTAGGCAAGAGAGCCCTGCGCTCAGCCTTCCCTGTGGGCCTGTCACTCTGGGACAGTGTGAAGGGGAGACACCAGGCCAGAGGTGGAGGAAATGGGAGGCAGTACTGGACAGGAGAGAAATTTAGGAGGTCAGAATCTCGTGCCTTGGTGGAAGGGAGCGGCGAGGGGATGGGGGGCGGAGAAGGAGGAGAAAAGGACAAGCCCTGGCTTCTGGTTTATGAACAAGACGACAATGGTGCCAGTACTGAGACATTAGGGAAAGAGCCTGCCTGGAAGCAGAGGATGGCGTAAGAATGTCACCTGACTCTCTATGCCAGCCAATTATATACAGCTGACTCTTGAACAGCAAGAGTTTGAACTATGTGGATTCACTTATACAAGGATTTAAAAAAATAAATACCTGTACTGTTTTGATGCACAATTGGGAGTCCCAGGATGTGGAGGGCAGGTTGCATGCATTCATCTACACCTGTTTATACAGGGGGCTTGAACACCCGCCAAGTTTGGTATCTTCAGGAGGCCCAGGGACCAGTCCCCTGAAGATACCAGGGGACAACTAAGTTTTGGGGGAGTCAAAATTTATACATGGGGTTATGACTGAATGGGGCGCAATGTCGGCACCCCAACCCCCACGGTGTACAAAGGTCAACCGTAATCTCCTTTCTCCTAGCAGCCTCTAAGTCCTTTAGGGCAGAGAATGTGTTGAGCTCTTCTTTGTGTCCTCTTCAATTCCTCCCTAACGCAAAATCTGGCACACAATAAGTGCTCAATAAAAATTGAGTAAATTGGAGAAGAAAAAACATCCCTCTTTCCTTTGTAATCCTCACCTGAGGATATGATATTGATTTGAGAGAGAGAGAGAGAGAGAGAGAGAGAGAGAGAAACATCAATGTGAGAGAGAAACACCAATCAGTTGCCTTCCACACATTTTCTGACCAGGGACTGAACTGACGCCTAAGTATGTGCCCCAGCCAGGATCAAACCCGCAACCTTTACGTGTCCGGATGATGCTCCAACCAACCAGCCAGGGGAAAAAGAAAAATCCCCCTTTAAAGCCAAAAGAGGTGGTATGGATACACAATTAGGAGTTGTTAGACAGCCCAACTACCTGGAAGACCAAAAAGTATATTCTGTATATCTAAGGTCCTATGGGATGAAATAGTTAATGTTAGAAAGAAAAAAACTCTAAAGCCTAAGTTCAGTAGCACAGCATCCGTTTGTCCAATGTCTTTGACCCTGGACCTGCAGGCACTTAGGCAGGTGCCAACACCTGGGAGGGAGGTGGGGGATCCCGGGTGGGAAGGTGCGAGCCCCTAAGCAGGATGGTGCAGCCCCTGCCATCGTTCTGGTCCTCCTCTGACACACAATTGAGACTTCTTAGTGTTCTGCTCATCTCTTTGGCATCTGTGTGGTCCTAGAAGCATGCGACTGTTTGTCTGATGGAGCATGAAACTTCAGGATGAGTATCTTGCATCCTCTTGAAATGTCAACCTCCTATGAAGACTTTGGAAAAAAACATTTCATAGTTGCATTAAAACCAATAGGGTAAGATTATGGAATAAATGAAAATTCATATGTATCTTTGAAACAGAACTTAAGCCAAAGAAATTCTATTTCTTGGTGCAGGCCATTATGGGCCCTTCCATTGAAATGTGTGACAACCGTGGTATGAGATAACAGGATCACTCCTGGCTTGCAGCTAACTAGGGGGTCACCATAGTTTTCTCTGCTCAGATTTCAGGATCTCTCATTCAGGAGACAACTCGAAAGTGGGCTCAGTACAAAGAGAAGTGCCTGAGAGACTTACTCAAAGAACCTTCTGGTAAGCACAAGTATTAGTTACTTATGGTGTGTAATAAATGGTCCCAAGGCTTAGTGGCTTGCATCACTAATCATAATCATTTGTGATCTCTCACTGTTTCCGTGGGTCAGGAATTTGGACCACGCCCATTGGGGGATGGCTTGTCTCTGCTCTACAGTGTCTGGGGTTTAGCTGGAAGACAAAGGCTGGGGGCTGAACTCATCTCAAGCTTTGCTCACACCCATGTCTGCTGGCTGACACTGGCTCTCAGCTGAGAGTTGAGCTGTGAATGTCGGCCAGAGAACTTCCACATGGCCTCTTTATCCAGCCTGGGCTTCCTCGCAGCATGGTGGCTGGGTTCCGGGGGCGAAATGATCAGAGGCCAAGCTGCCTTTTATGACCTCGCCTCGACGTCACTTCTGCCACATTCTGTTGTCAGACAGTTACAAAGGTTTACCCAGCTTGAAGGGCAGGGACCCCCACCTCTCGTAAAAGAGCATGTGAAACGGGATGCTTATGCTCATGGCCATCTTCAATAAAAAACCATCTGTCACTGCACACTCTCCACCTAACCACATAGCTGGAGCAACTGTCACAGATTCACCTGGGAACAAATTGAGTGTGTGCTGGGGTCAGGATGGGAGTCCCAGGTCCTATGACTAAAGCCGAGTCATAATATTTCTCTTATCTAGGTCCACATTAGGTTCAGAGCATTCTAGCAAATTTGCTAATAGTTTGGTCTGTGCATGGCCTCTTGCCCACATACTGACTCTTTGGGTCTGTCCAGAGTCTTTTGCTTCTTTTTTTCTAAGAAAAAAGAAGAGACAAGAAGCATTGGCTCACTGCCTCTGTGGCTGGGGACTGTGGATGAAACTGCCCCCTTCTTATTTTCCCAGTTGACAAGACACTATAAACTGTCCCTGTTCCTGACCCAAAGGCAGTGCCCACCTTCAAGCCACACCTTTCCCCCTGTGACTCCTCCTTCAGCCCAGCAGGCAGCAGGGCTTGGTCCGTTCCAGGACCACCTCCTGCTTTGGGGAGCTTTCTGAGGTCCCAGCAGGGCAGGTCCTCCTCAGCTGCAGCCACGCCTGGGGCAGCTCAGCACCGCTCACATGGAGGCGGGTTGGGGGAGTGCCGACACCTGGTGGCCATGTCCACGAGGCCGGAGCCAGCGTCTAGCCCAGCAGGCCTGCGTTTGTAAGGGCCCAACACCAGTAACTTGGCACTTCACCCTGAATTCTAGCCTAACAGGGAGCAGATGGTGGGGGCTGATGCTTGGTTCCCAGGAGTAAGGGGCCTGCAAAACAGACAGTTGGGATCTTCCCTGAAACCCCCTCATTTGATTCTGGGAGGCCTACAAGGCTGGGGCTTCTGTTTGTAGTTTCTCACCACCAAGTGCAGGAGATGGCCCAGACATTTCGTAACGATCAGCAGATTAGATTCCAGTGGAGAAATAGAACCAGGCAGTGCATGTGTCAGGGACGCGCGACAAAAGACTTCAATTCTGCAGATGCTCTAATAACACCAGTCCTTTCGCACATTTCACAGTAAGGTGCCCCAGGTGTAATCGATAAAAGTTGACAATTACTTAGTTCATATGGAGCATAAGGTGCTGGCTGAACGTCTAAGTGTCCTCCTGACCCTGAGTTTCTGTGGGAGTTCAGTTCTCATAAAATAAACCAAGACCAGCATGACGTGCACATTGACATAAGCAACTGGACCACAGTGCCAGAGGTCACGTTGGTTAGACAAAGCCACGGCGCTCGCGGCTACATTAAGTATTCCTGTCCCCTTCCGGTTGCTCCGCGTCCTTGACCTGCCTGGAGGACCAGATGCCCACGAGGGTCCCTGTGCAGGTTACTACAGCTTCCGATGCCAGGAAGGCGGGCCCTGGGCTTCTGACGCCTCTGGCTCCACCTGCGGGCCCCAGCCTCCGGCGGGGCAGTTCATTCAGCCCTTCTTCTCTCCGCAGGCATATTTTGTAATGGAACCTTTGACCGGTTTATATGCTGGCCTCATTCTTCTCCGGGAAATGTCTCTGTTCCCTGCCCTTCATACTTACCTGGGTGGCGTGAAGGTAATGTCTCATTTTACCGATTTCTGACAGTTCCCTTAAAGGCCGGTCCCTCCTGGGTAGAGCATCCAGGGAGCAGTTTGGGGAAGGGCTCCAAGCAAGTGTTTTCTCAAGCCTTCTTCTCCCTCCAAAGGTTTCCTTCTAAGCTGTCAGGAAGACATGTTCCTTCTTCTCTTATCTTCCTGCAATTCTTCCTTGCCTGGATGTTCTGTAAATAAAACGGTCCTCTTTTCTTTGAAATGGTAGAGTCCAGGCCTGGCTGCCACAGAATTGGCTGCAGTGAGGGTAAGAATTGCACCCTGATGCAGATGAGAAGGAGGCGGGGGTGGGAGAAATGTTCACATCCGTACAGTTTAGGCTTGTAACACAAAGGGGAGGGGCGTCAAAGCCACCCTGGCGATAGCCCTGCAAGGAAGTGCTACGAGGCGGGTGTTTTTAAGCCCCACGGGGCTTGGATGGAGAGCTAAACCACTCAGCCTGCCCTGATCCTGTGGAAAGGAAGCAACTGTTACTTAGGACTTCAGGATGATCCCCCAACCCACCTGCCCCAGCAACTCAGCCTCTTGGTTGTTTCACCAGAAGAAGAGAGACACAGCTACTGCTTAGAATTCTTGCCATTGGCCAAAGACGGTGGGCACATCTAAGGGCAGGTAAAATCTTGAGAACTATTCTCAAGAAACAGAAGCAGGCGCATAGTTCCGGGTAAAACAAAGTGAGAATGGGTGTCTGAGAAGGTGAGATGGTGATATTTTGCATTTAATTTCAGCCTGAGAAATGATCACATCAGTTAAAATTTGGTTTCAGTTTTTTGAAGCCTCCAGTGCAAAGGGAGAGTTTGAAAGGAAGATGCATTTCTGGATGGGAGAGCTAAGGAAATCGTCCTCTGGTGGGATCCAGTGGAATCAGCCCAGGAGACATGAGGATGTGAGGCTCAAGGGAAGGTGGAGGGGAAGATACCAGGGAGCTTGCTGGGCCACGAGTTCCCCTTGGTGAAGAGTGAAGAGCGCTGGACTCGGAGTCAGGAGCCCTGAGATCGGACCCCACCCCTCTGTTCTACACCGAGACTTTTGTTAAGTGCCAGAGCCCTGGGCGCTGTGGTAGCTGACTCCTAAAGTCTCCTTGAGGTGGGAGCTGAGGCTGAGGCTGAGTTCGAGCCCCTTGGGCTCCTCTGGGTCTTTAAGGCCCCAAATGTGCGTGGACTCCTCAAGGGCACGTGGAGCAGACCACCGCCACCCAGTTCCACCGTCTGCCTGATTTTCCCAGGAGCTAAACATAGGGGTCCATTGCACTTTAAGAGGAAAAGTGATCAGAAAGTCAAACTTACAAAGAAGTAGAGTTAAGGCTTAAAAAAAAAATGAGTTGTGCGTTTCTAGAATGTACTGAGAGGAATGCAGTTCACAGGTGGGAAGTTGCTTTGCCACTTGACATTTTGTGCAGGAAACTTTTAGAATCTGAATGGGTTCCTGCAGTAAAAGGAAAATGCGGAGGCAGGGGAAGGGTTTAGAGAAGAAGGGACGCACAAGCATTCTTGTGAGATCAGCTTGGAGGAAGGAGCATCGTAATCATACGAGGAGGGAGCCTGTGTAATGGTGGATGCAGGTTGCAATGGCACATAAAACTGCGGATGAGGCTGGGCCTGATCGTGCAGGAAATTGTATGCCACGCTAAGGGTTTTTAACTTCCCTCTGCAGAGAAAAATTCTGTGAAGGTATTAAGGCATGAGAAGGACATAAGATTTGTGGTGTGGGGAGATGACATCGGTGGCCTGTGGCTGTTGGACTGAGGCGTGAACGGGGAGGCCGGTCTGGAAGCTACTTCAGTGGTCCAGAAACAGAGAGGGTGAGGAATTGGATTCAAGCAAAGGCGAAAGAAGAGAAGAGGAAGGAGTCTAAAAAATACGGGAGGCAGAACCATCAAGACTTGTCATCAGATGAAGTGGGAATTGAGGGACAGAGAGGAGTGGAAGGTAGGGGAGAGAAAAACATTCCCAACAGCCCTCACGCGGCTGGTAGCCAGGTCCCCTGGCCCCTCTTCCTCCTACCCCCATTCCCACTGCTCATCTTCACTCTCAGTTGTTGCTCCCCGCTCTCCTCACCGGCCCCTGCCTCAGGTCTGGCCCCTTTCCAACCACCTGTACAATGTTTTCTGAAATGCACATGGGACTATGTTGGCCCATCACCAACACCCCTGAGGGGTGCTCAAGACCTTCCGCCACATGGCCCTGCTGACCTCTCTAGCATCTTCTCCCATCTCCACTCCAGCCAAACAAACAACCCCAGGCTCCTACACCTGCCCAGCCTTTCCTCCCCAGCACCTGACCCACACTTTTCTGTCTATAAACCCAATTTTAATCCTCAGCTTGTGACTTCCATTCTTCTAGAAAATTTTTCGGATTACTCTCCACAAATACAATGGCTCCCAGCCATTCCGAGGCCTCATATGTACCTGAGCAACCTTCCCCCTTAGCATTTATAATGCTTGGTGACACTTTTATTTGCACATTGTCACCTCCTCTGCTAGACTTGGGGCTTTGCTTCCTTAGTCCCCAGCACAGAGCAGTTACGGACACAGTGTCAGGTGACATGACTGTCATCCATTCATTCAACAAATATTTATTGAAGACCTATTGTGTGCCAGGCATTGTTTTAAGGGCTTAGGATATATTAGTGACCAAAAACAGAATCAAATTTCTCTCCTTGTGGGGCTCACATTTGAGCAGCAGATGAACAATAATCAAGATACATTGTCAATAAGTATGGAGTGCATTTGAATGTGATGTATTTTAAACAAGATGGGATGGAAAGAAATGGGAAGGTGGGAGTGGGCTTTATGACAAGCCAATGCCTTGGTGACAACTTAAAGGAGGTAAGGAATTTAGCCAACAGGGGAAGAGTGTTCTCCAGGGAAGGAGTCGATGAGTGTGAATTCTGTACTATTTGGGCAGCATGCCTGCTGTGTCCCACAGAGAGCAAGGAGGCCGATGCGGCTGGAGGGAAGGGGGAGAGAAGCAATAGGAGGCTTGTTTCAGGCAGAGAGCACTGGGGCCGGACCTTTCAGGACTTTGTGGGAGGCCATGAGGACTCTGACTTCTTTTCCGAGCCCTTGGATGATTCTGAGCGAGGCATGACACGATGGGCCCGGCATTTGTTGAAGTTCGTTCTGACTGCTGGGTTTACCGTAGCCCATGAGCACGGGACGTGTTCACCGTGATCTGGGTAGGAAATAATGGGGGTTCCAGGCAGGATAACAGCAGGAGGTGAGAAGACGTGCTCCGAGTCTGGATATGTGTGAAGGTAGAGATGGCAGGGTTGGCCGATGGGCCAGGCACAAAGAAAACAAGGATGATTCCAAGGTTTGGGGCCAGAGCGCTGGGAAGGTGGGTTTGCCATCAACTGAGGTGGGAAAATCTGTAGGTGGAGGAGGTTTGAGGAGACGGTGAAGAGCTTGGTTTAGGGAGTGTTTTTGAGATGTCAATTAGACACCCTACTAAAGCTGTCGGGGGCAGGTAGAAGTACCATGTGGGGATCAATCCATTAAATTCAGTAAATGATTATTGCTGGCCCACTACATTCAGGTTCAGGAGTAGGAGGTTCCAACAAATTTCAATTTCTCATTTGCATGTCGAGTCCCTGGTTGTCCAGGTAGGGAAGGGCTCCCGGAACAGATGTGACTGAGTCACACGGCCGCCACCATGGCAGAGCGCTTTGCCCATCACTTGCGTGCACACACTTTCACTTAACCCTCCCCCACACCGAGGAGGGTCAGTACCATCATTATCCGTTGCTCTGATAAAGAAGCAGGAGGCCACAGAGAGTGGGAGGGCTGGGCCCAGGCCACAAAGCTGGTAAGAGGCTGAGCAGACCTGGTCCACCATCTTCTTCCCGGACCGCTTCCCAGGCATTAGGAAGAGGCGCTCCCCTGGGCAAGCGCCCGGAGCCCTGGTGGGTGTTTCCAGCTGGCCTGCGCCTTGGAGAGCTCACCTCTCTCAGTCGGGGCGGGGCGGGTGGGCGGTGGGGGGTTGGGGGAGAGCTGTTCTAGCTCCAGAAACTTGGTAAACACAGCGGCCATTAGCGGATCATGGCTTCTTCCAAAATATAAAGGCTGCTGGGTTTTTCTCTCTGTCCCAAATAAACAGTAGGGATGTGAATGAGCCCCCTCCCTCCCCCAACACCAAGGGGAAGTAAAACTCCCTTTTCCCTGGGATTTTCCACAGCTTTGTGGTGAGGACTGGGTCTTAGCCGGGCTCAGGGAGGCGGCTGCATGTTCTGGCCTTTCCCTGAGAGCTGTGTTTACTTTCAGAGGACTCAGGAAGGGCCTACCGGTACTGCTTGGCTCGGGGCACTTGGCTGACGCGGGAGAATTCCACAGTTATTTGGCAGAATGACTCCGAATGCACTAAGAACCACAGCTTCAAAGAAAACGTGAGTCTGCTTGGCTCAGGGAGAACATGCCCCAGTATCGCCCCCCGCGGGGCTCTCCATGGCCGGTGGCTCGAGGGGCCACCCAGAGAGCCTTCCCACAGCTTGTCTGCCCCAGACTCACCCGGGGAGACCCTCGGCTACACCAAGCAGCGCCCGCTGTGGCAGCCAGCGAAGGCCTTCCCCTGTGAGAGTGAAGGGCGGACCCCTGAGGGAGGGCAGCCTCTCAGCACTGTCCTAGCCTTCCTTCCGGTCCCCTCTGCCTGGGGCAGCTCTCCTCAGCTCGTGTGGCTTCTTCTCACCGTTCAGGTTTCAGTTCGTCTCCTTCAGTTTGTCTCCATCAAAGCGAAGTCTTCTGTGGCCACCCCATCAAGAGTGGCCTTCTTGGTCACTTGCCACCACGCCCCCGTCACGCTCTGACATGCTCCTGGGTTTGCTTACTTGTTACCTAGCCCTCGTTAGAAGAGGGGCTCAGCAGTAGCAGGCGATGCGTGTGCCAAGCTCAGGGGTCCTGAGCTGAGAGTCGGGGGCCAGGCAGCTCGGTTTCCTGCCCAGGCTCTTTGAATTCTAGCTGTTCATACCCAGGCCCTTCACCTCTCTGTGACCCTGCTTCCCCTCCCATACTATTCATTGCGTGCGATTGCTGTGAGGGGTTAATTAAATAGACACACAATTGTTAATAGACATGCCGTTCTTTGGAAAGAACCTGACCCCCAGTCAGCACACCCGTGCGGCAGTGACTGACTGGTCTGTGACCAGGATCCAGCACAGTGACGGGGCAGTGAATCATCAGAGCTGCTCTGCACATGTCTCCTTCAGACGCCTATCCACAGGTTTTCTTCCCAGGGCCCTGTCCTGCCGTCCCCACAGGCACAGCTCTTCCCCCCAAAGTCTCCTGTGTGCACAATCCCACCCACCTTCCTTCAAAGTGAAGTGCGCAGGCAGACTGGAGAGAGGAAAAGGTGTTTGGGAATCAGGCGGTTATCTGGGGCCACATCTTGGTTCCTTTCAGACAGTCAGACTTGGAGTGTCTCCTGTGTACTAAATTTTTGCACGAGCCACCGGAACTTTGATTATCCAGTGGCATCGGGACAAGGTGGAGGCCTCTGGAGACACCACCTTAGAGAGTTAGGACTTGGCCCAGCTGAAAAAGGAAGAACGTAACACTGAGTAGCCTTCGAAAGGGTTGCTCTGACCAGCCAGGGAGAGAGGTGCAGAATGGGCCAGGCCAGAGGCAGAGCAGGGAGGACAAGCAAGAGCCACCCGGGCACTCAGCCCAGAGAGGGGGCGACCGCCGGCCAACGGAGGGTAGTGGGAGGCTGGGTTTACAGGCTACCGAGGAGGCAGATAGTACGGCCAGATGCCGGGGGTAGTGTGAGAGGGGAGAGTCAAGGGCACCATAAGGCTCAGGTTGGCTTGGGCCCCTGAGGAGCTTTGAAATGCCCCTCATTGAGAGCGGGGACACAGGAAGAGTCCCTCCCCTGCTTCTCCCCTGGGTTCTGAGTATTCCACTGCCACTGCTGAATTCTTTGCCCTAACTCAAGACTGCCAACTTCACCCTGCCCCCGCCCCTCTCCCCTGCCCCCTGTCCCCTGCCCCAAGTAGTAGCTCACTTCTCTCAGAATTTAATTGGATTTTGAAATTCACTTTAGCTTTCTTAAGTCATTTTAATATTTTTCCCATCAGATGCTAATGATATTTTCATACTGTTTGGGGACGTGGCAGGAGGTAAGGAGTTCAGGCCTAGAAACACTAACTGTGTGGCTTAAGCCACATAACTCCTCTCTGAGCATCCACAGTATGGGGTTGATAGTGCCAACTCTGCCCAGGCTGTTGGCGAGGTTTGGCGGGACAACGGGTGCCACGTCCTGGCACCCCCTTGACGCTGCATGGTCACGGTTATTGCATTTCATCTCCTCAGGATGTCTCCCCTGGTCCCCAACAAACACAGTCCTCGGCCCCCTAGGCCTCCCTCTAATCCGCTCTGAGGGTGATGGTCGCAGTCCACTTGTCAGCGTGAGTTTTTGGTGTCTGAGAGTGGCTTTTCTGCACTGACTTCTTTGGGTTTATTTTTAAATAAGTAATATTTCATTTGATTTTCAAAAATAAAAAATATATAATTTTCTGTATATGTATGTATATATATATATATAACTGTATGCCATTGAAAGGCCTTTGATTAATTTCACATTTCACATTTCAAGCTGCAGTAATACATTTAAAATATTAGATGCTTTCAATATTTTAAGTATCTTAAATAGTTAGAACAAGCAAATCTTTAATTCCTAAATAATTCTAGTTTATTGAATGCATCAGGCTTATCTGGTGAGTCTTCAATTTTCTTAAATAAATCAGTACTGTTTTCAATTTAACTTAAAGTACTTAGTGACAAATTTCATAATGGAGCCACAATACTAATTCTAATCTTCTAATATGCTACATTCACTAAGTAATACCAATTACGTGTAGAATGTCAAATAATTTTAAAAGCCTCTGTCTGAGGGACAAGCAGAAGGGCGGCTGTGGGACGGTGCCGGGGAAGTGCCGATGGCTGATGGCCGCGTCCAGGGGGCGGGCGCGCAGGGGAAACTCGGCTGTCAGTGTGGCATCCCGGCCCCCTTCCTTCAGAGCCTCGTGGGAGCTGGCGTGCCCTGGGCTCTCCTAAGTCTGTAACGGCTTCCCACCAGGCATGAAGAGCCTTCCGCTGCATCCTCTACACCCACAGGGAAGCCTTTCTAAACCTCTTTTTAACCTTTGATGGAATTCTGTGTTTCTTACATAGTTTTACCTCATGACAGGTCACGCCTCTTAAAGGTATTAAAATGATACCCGTGGCTGAATTGGATTCAGCTTATCTCAAGCGTGTGTCTGACTTTCATCAGGACACCAGACGCATGCTAATTGCATGGCTTGAATTAGGCAAATTGCACGTATTTCTTACCTTCCCTCGTGCACTAAGCTGCTTGAGAACAATGACACCTTCATAGTTACAGCTCCGCACCCATCTCCCCGTGGCCTAGCACTGGGATGCACAGAAGCCTTTGCACACAGTGGGCGCTTAATACATACTGAGTCAGCGGTCTCTCTGACTCTGAGTCAAGGGGTCTGTGGTGGGGCCTACGCCTCCGTATGGGTGCTGACTCCCCGGGCGACTCTAAGGCGCAGCCGAGGCCCGCGGGGGCCGTGGGGTGGAAGCTGCCGGCAGGCAGGCGCGAGAGGCCCGCAGCGGCCCGAGTCGGCGACAGGGACGGCAAAACGAGACTTGAAGACTGCATTTTCCAAGACAGGAAGGAAAGAGGTCTCTCTTTAGAAGAGTGAGCACGAGGGCATTTCCCCCTCCCCTCTGCAAATGGCCGTATTTCGAAGAATTCAAATATTTAAAAAAAAGTCAAAACCAACTTCTGGCCATGTTTACCTGTGTTTCTAATACAGGGTTGAACTTTTGGCCCCAAAAGGCTAGTGTGAGTAAATCTTTGCCCTTCAGAGTTTTGGCAAACAAAATATGTTATACTTTTCCAACTAACAGTGCACTGGGAGTTCTTATGCACATTAAATGGTACTTTTTAAAGAGATGGTGTGTGTGCCCATGCACAAGTATTAACAAGTATGTTTAGATTCCTTGGTACAGAATTGTGCTTAGTAACACTTAAATAAATTATCTTGCCTTATTTCAAGCTGTTTTTCTTTTCCTTTATAAAAGTTCTTTCTATTCTCAAGTATAGAATTTAATTGCTATATCTGTTATAATTTTAATACATTTAATGATAAATTTTAATTTCCAATATAACCTATTATATATAGGTACATATCTATTTTTCCAATATTTTATTTTGAAATATCCAAACATAGAAAAGGTATGAGAAAAATAAACATTGATAGATCTACCATCTAAATCTATTAACATTTTGCTTCATTTTCTCTCTTTCTTTCTGTTATATTTAAAAATAATTCGCAAGCATCATGAGATTTTGCCCCTAAATATTCATCAGTTACTTCTTAATTTTAAGATCATTGTTCCACGTAACTACAATGCCATTGTCCCAATTAAATGAAATTAACAGTTATTTTAACATATCAACTAATGTTTCCTCCATTTTCACATTTTCCCCGTTGTTCTCCCCAGCCGCTTCCCAATTTTTATAGCTTTTCTTCCCTGGACCAAGCTCAGATCTAGGTCCATATGTTGCATTTAGTTTTATATCCCTTGTGTCTTTTAACATAGAACAATGCTCCTATTCCTCGCCAACCCCCGCCACCAGTAACATTGGCTTTTTGAAGAGACCAGAAGAACTTCGTTACAGAATGGCACACAATCTAGATTCATTTGACTGTTTCCCTGGGTTACCATCTCTTCTATCTTCTTTATTTCCTGTAAGCTGGAAGTTAGGTAGGATTCAAATTCATCCTCACAGGTGCTGTGTATAAAATCTCACCCGGAGTCCAAAATGTCAGGGGTCACACTATAACATTCTTACATTTGATCACCTGGTTGTTTATATATATATTTAAATGGAGCCTCTTGAGCATAGAGACTGAGCTGCCATGCCAAAGAACTGCCTCACATGTTCAGAACGATAAAACAGGGCAAAATGACCTTTGGACTGGGCCTAAAGCAATGCAGTGCCCTAAAGAGCTGCTTGCAAAGATAACAAGAAAGCAGTTATTGTGACGACTGGATTGATGACTACTGGAGTGAAAAATGTTAAAAATGAGCATCACTCATTATCTGCACCAATAAATGCCTTCCTTCTTGTTTTGACATTAAATGACTTTATTTTTCAACTGCATTTGACATATAGTGTTATATTAGTCTCAGGTGTGCATCCCAGTGCTTAGATGTTACATAACTTACTTACATAACGTAAGTGATCATCCGATAAATCTCATCCCCATCCGACATCACACATACTTATTAGAATATTATCTTGGGTTATTTTAGCTCATCTTGGGTTTTCCCTGTTCCAGGCACAAATCAGCTGTCTCTTCAGAGTTCTGGATTCTTGAAGCGGAAGAACGGGATTTGAAACAAGTTCGGAGCGTTAGCTGTGCTCATTGCCACAACTTCTAGGCCCTAGAACCTTCAGTGTACAGACTTAGAAAAAAGCACTTTTAAAAATCAAGACTTCATATTGATAATTCTGATTCAAATTTAACATTTAGGACTTTTCCTTATCTTTTTTTACTTTTTATTCTATATCTTTTTTCTTTCAGTGAAAATTTGCTTCCCAGGAACATTACCATAATTATTTATTTACCTATTCTTGCAGTACAAGTAAAATAGTTTCAACCTTCCTATGAAAATTGCCACTAAAATATAAACTTACTTGGTAAACATTTGAAACTCTTTATGTCCTTAGACTACTTTCTTTATGTGGTCATGTTATTAATTAGATATGCAGCTTTATTTATTTGTTTCTATTTGTCCTAAGAGTTTGCCTTTTCATTATTTTCTCTTAAATTTTTTAAAAATAAAGTATTGGCAAAGGTTGAAAGCCAAAACTATATTAAAAAGTATACTCAGAGAAGTCTTACATCATCGTCTCTAACCATGTTTCTACTTACTCCCTACAGATAACCATTTTTATTATTTTCAAGTTCCTTTCTCTCTCTTTTCTTTTTCTTCACCTTTTATCAAATTGTAATATATACTTTACATTTCTTTTTGCAAAACTAAGCAAGCATATAAATACATTCTTTCCCCATATTTCTTATACAAAAGACAGCATACCAGATACCCTATTCTGCATCTTTCTTTTTTCACTTACAATATGTCCTGGAAATTACTTTGTAAGAGTTTTCTAGAAACAGTTCTCTCTCTCTCTCTTTTTTACAGCTGCATATAGAGGGTGGAGCTGCATACTCCACCCTCTATATTTACTAAAGTTTATTCAGCCACTCTCCTATGGCCATTTGGATTATTTTCAATTTGTTTATTACTAATGATGCCACCTCGAATAACCTTCTATGTGTCTGTTGGTTCATATTTGTGGTGATATATCTTTCAGAAGATTCCTAGAAATGGAAATGATGGATTAAAATTAGATGCTCACATAATTTTGTCAGATATTGCTAAATCCACCCCTCCCCATAGAGGCTGAAATCTTTTGCCCCCCCTTCAGCAGTGTTTGAGAATGCCAATTTGCCTGTGGGTGCATATTATTCACTGATTATGAAGCATTTTATAAAGGTATCTAAATGACTTCAGATTCACCTGTTGGCACTGAGAGTGAGCTGGAGACTGCCTGGGTGTTCTGAGACCTCTAGAAAGTAGCCAGGTTTAGGGAGAGTCCTTAAAGTAGAGGACAGTTTAGGAAAGTTTCCTAACAGAGCGCAATTAAACCAACTGTCCCGTGGGTGCCCATCCATAGCTCCTTACCTAAACCAATTCAATACACATCTTCCTAGCTTCTGGTCACTAGCCCATCCACTTCTTTGGCTCGTTTTCTGGTTCTTGCAGCCCACTTTGTCTTCTGGAAGGCAGGCCAGACGTGCTAGGGAGTTAATGCCGCCCACCCCGGAGCGGCCCTCAGAAGGAATGCCGGCCTGCCAACACTTTCATTTTAGCCCAGTGAAACTGATTTTGAACTTCTGACCTCTGGAACTGTAAGACAATAAATCATGTTGTATTCAGCCACCAAATTTGTGATAATCTGTTATAGCAGCCACAGAAAATTAATATAAAAGGGCATCTTTAAAAAATTTCCCCTGACACCATGCTGATGGGTGAAAGAGTAAACGCTTTCCCCTAAGATCTTTGACAAGGTATTAAGTTCACTCTTTCTGCATCTATTCAACATTGGGCTGAAGGTCCTAGCCAAAGCAACAATGCAAGAAAGGGAATAAAAAAACAGAGTTTGGAAAAAAACAAGTAAAAATGGTATTCACAGACAACATGATCATCTATGGAAAATCTCTTGGGATCTACCCAAAATACTACTGATACTCATAAGTGAGCTCAGCAAGATTATGGATTACTGACCAATATGTAAAAAACGGTTGTGTTTTTATATACTAACAACAAGCAATTAAAAATTAAAACTAAGAAAACAATACCATTTATAGCAGCATTAAAAATACAAAACACATATGGGTAAATTTGACAAAAGATGAGCAAGACCCATATACTGAAAACTACAAAGCTCTGTGGAAAGACATTTTTAAAAACCTAACTAAACAGAGGGATATACTATGGCCATGGACTCTAAATTCACCTGTAGTTTCAATGTAATCCCAATCAAAATCCTAGCAAATTTTTTTTTTAGAAATTGACAAGCTGATCCTAAAATTTATATGAAAATGCAAAAGACCTAGAATAGCAAAAACAAACTTGAGAAAGAACAAAGGTGGAAGATTAACACTAACTGATTCCAAGACTTACTGTACTATCAATCTATAGTTATTAAGCCAGCACAGTATTGGCACAAAGATAGATATAAGAATAATTAATAGAACATAGAGTCTACAAATAGACCCACACATACAAAGGTGATTGCCAAGGCAATTCACTGGGGAAAGAATAATCTTAGCAACAAATAGTGCCAGAGCAATTGGATAAAAAAAACAAAAACAACACTTCTGTCTTTGCCTCATGCCATGAATACAAATTAACTAGAAATAGGTCACAGGCCTAAATGTGGGAGCCCAAGCTATTAAACTTCTAGGAAAAACATAGCAGAAAATCTTAAGGCCCTTGAGTTAAGTTAAGGTTTTAAAAATAGGATTAAAATATGAAGTATAAAAGAAAAAGTTGATTAATTGGACTTTATCAAAATTAAAAAAAACTTTTGCTCTTCTATAGATACAGTTAAAAAAATAAAAAGGCATGTCACAGAATGGGAGAAAATACTTGTAAAACACATATCTGACAAGAGATTTATATCTAGACTATATAAAGAGCGTTAACAATGCAAAATTAAGACAAACACTTCAATTAAAGATGGCCAAAGATTTGAATAGAAACTTCACCAAATAAGATATACAGGTGGCAAATAAGCACATGAAATGAGTCTCAACATTAGAGAAGTGCAAATTAAAACCACAATAAAATATTATTATGCCCCCATTAGAATGGCTAAAATTTAAAAGACTGATTATATGAAGTGGTAACACAACCTAGAGCAGCTGGAACTCTCATACATTGACGGTGGGAATGTAAATTGATACAACTTGTTTAGAAAACAGTTTGGCAGTTTTTTAAGAAGTTAAAACAAACGCCATCCTACTCCACCATTCTACATCTAAATACTTATCTGAGAGAAATGAAAATCTATGTCCACATAAAAGCTTGTGCAGAAATTTTCATAGCAACTTTGTTTGTAAAAGCCAAATTCTGAAAAGTATCCAAGTGTCCATCGATAGGAGAGTGGGTAAATAAATTGTGGTACCTTTGCAGTGGAATACTACTCAGCAATAAACAAGGAACACACTATTGATATACGCTATGCCATGGATGAATTTCAAAATAATTATTCTGATGGAAATAAGTTTCATAAAGAAGAGTGCATATCCTAAGTTTCCATTTTATGTAAAGTTTAAAAAAATGCAAACTAGTCTCCAATGACAGAAAGCAGACCAGTGTTTGCTTGGACTTAGGATGGCAGGGAGTAGTGAGAAGAGATGTATTGTAAAGGGTCACAAGGAAACTTTTGGAAGGTGATGGAAATGTTCATCATCTTGAATGAAGTACTGAAACCAACTCTAAGGTTTGTACATTAAATATGTACAGTTTACTCTCCCTCAATACTTTAATAAAAGTGATAAAAAGAGTTATGCAAAGAAGTTTAAGACATAATTTAGCAGGTAATAAGTATTTACTGCAGGTTCTTTGACAAAATTTACTGAGAAACACCATCAAGATTTTGTTTTTGAATAAATTTTGGAGAAGATACTCACAGTATCTTGATGATGATATGCACGATGGATTGAATGAAAAAGTGAGATTCTACTGAAAGGTCTCACTTAATAAAACAGAATTTTCAGTAAATAATCTTCTGTTCAAAGGCAGGCTATTCTGGGACTCAGAGAAGATATTCCAGCATTTTATTAGGTCTTTGTCTAAGGGGTCGTCTATGGAAAGTTATTTGGAAAGGAGAGCTCCAGTTTGGAGCATGGCCCCATCTTCCGGAGAGAGGGACCGCCTCACTCTAAGGACAGCACACGTAGGGCCAAAGAACCTGTCCCTGTTCCCAAGGCACACTCTTGATCTGGCCCAGTTCTTCTATGATATTGTGAATCTTGGTGCACCAACGCTGAGCTGTGGGACAAGCCAAGAAAAGGAGACCAAGGCGGGCTCCTCACTCAACAAGGCTCCTTGGCTTCTGAGATATTCCAGAGAGCAGGCTAAGCTGCCCTCCTCTGGTGTGAACAAGAACAGGGTGCATGCCTAAACCTTGGTGGTTCCGGGCATGGAGCTTGGGCTGGGCACCGTAGCCGCCTAGCTTGGTGATCATATCCGCTCTTCCTGTGTTCAGGTGGAACACCATGGCTTGCTGACAACCTTGCAGCTGCTCTACACCGTGGGCTATTCGCTCTCCATCGTCGCCCTCCTCCTGGCTCTCACGGTCCTCTTGTGTCTTCGGTGAGTGGAACATCTGCTGGCATGTGGTCACTGGCTACCTCTAGAAGGCTGCAGGCGACATCATGGCTCATGAGAGCTGGAAAGGAATCCGAGAGAGTCCCCAGTCCATCTGTCCCATTTGGCAGGTGAAGGGCGGGGGGACATCAGGTGTCCGCTGGCAGGCACTGCGTCATCCAGGTTGTAAAGCACAGTGAGAATTGCAACCTGGACTGAGCTTTTGCCTCCTTTGGGTTGGATAACCTCCTACGTGCCAGGCTCTGCTCTAAATTCCTAACGCGCCCGTTACTGCACAGCCCCTGCTCACTGCAACTCTACCAGAGGCGTTATTTTTAAAGAAGAGATTAAGAACTCCCCCCACAGCAGATTAGTGACTGGTAAAGGTGGGATTTTAACCCAGGGCCCCCTGACTCCAGTTGGCTGTGCTTCCTTGAGTCCCGGGCCCTGTTCTAAGCGTGTTATGTGCACTAAGTCATTTAAATCACATCCTAATCATAGTTATTATTAATTCTAACCCTAGGAAATTAGCATTATTGTTACCACTATTTTGTAAGTGAGTTAACTGAAATACGGAGAGATCCAGTAACTTGCCCAAGATCACACAGCTGGTGAGTGATGGAGCCAGGATCATAGCCAGGCGGTCTGGAGCTCGTGCAGTTTCACTCCGTAATACTTATTTTAGAATCCAAAGTCTGGATGCATTTTATTAAATCCAGTTTTTAGATATTATGCAACTGAGGTATTTTGAGAACAACTAGAGAGCCCTGTAAAACTGTCTCATGGTCCAGCCCATTCAGGAACATAACTGGGCACATATGAGGGGGAACCCCCCAAAAACCCAGAATTATCTTCTGGAGGGTAGGTCCCTTGCAGTACAGGCTTCTCCCACTAGGTGAGTGTTTTAGGAATCCATCTGTATCAGTGCACTAGCTGGCGTTGTTGTGAGAGGCTGCGTTCAGCTTCAGTGAATTTTTTTTTGAAGACTCTTTCAACGTGTTTGCCCATGATGGGTGATTTAGAAGCACACTTGCCCACATTGCACGGTTTTCAGCAGTTTTTGACCTAAAACAGTACCACCCCCATGCCCCACCCTCCCTAATCACCAGGTCTCGCCCCGAGCAACCTTTTTTTGTTTCCCCGGCTGAAAAAAGTCCTCGAAGGGAAATGTGTTGCTGTTGTGGAAGAGGTGAAACAAAAAACGGCAGAAGCACTAAAAGGCATCAAAATCGAGGAGTTCAAAAACTGTTTTGAATAGTGTAAAAAAGTTTCTGTAGGTCTATTGCATCGAATGGAGAGTACTTTGAAGGTGACTGAGGTTTAAACATGTAAGAATAAAAACACGCTTTTTTAGAAATAAGTTCTGGGATTTTTGGTGTCCCCCTTCCTAATGTGGCAGAATGAGAGTTTGACACGGATGCAGGAGACCTGGGCGGAGACCATGGAAACCTGGATGCTCGTTCCAGAGCAGCTCAGGGGGGCTGCTAGCCCTGGGGCTGGCCCTGCTTGGCCCTTAATCTCAGGATGGCCTGTGGCCGCAGACATGGCCTTCTACCTGCCGGGAGAGCAATTTCTGAACAATGGGAGCGTTCCACTGCTACCTGTGGCCTCCTCCACTCGCCTTCCCAAAGTCGCAGAACCAAGCCAGGAGAAACTAACTGCCCGGCCCTGACGGAGGTAACTTTAGCAGAACCTGGGTCAACCAAGGGTCTGTTTTGCCTCAGTCCCTGCCCTAGAGTAGTCCCTGGTCTAGGTAGGGAAAAGGATGCATAAATGGCAAAACACAAGGACCTGCTTCAAATCTTCTTTGAAATTAAAAAAAGAATAGCTCTAAAGCAAGGCAGGACTGGGTATGGGCTGCCCCAGGGCCCCGGCAGGGCTGTGAGAGCCCAGAGATGGGAGCGGCTGAGGATGCAGTTTTTCGTCCTCCAGGACAAGGCTGTGACGGCGGAGGCATCAGGTGGGTGAGGGACGGGCACCACCTTATTCTGTGCGCAGGGACAGTGTCAGCACTTTCCACCTGTTAACTGACTGAACCGCCCCCCCCCCCCGCCCCAGCCCTTTGAGGCAAGTGCTCTTGTTCTTACAGGCAGTAGGTACTCAAAGAGCTGAATTTTAGCCTTAGAGTTCTTGGGTTCGAATCTCAGCTTTGCCACTTACTCCTCTGGGACTTTGGAGAGGTGGTTTAAGCTTTCTACCTCAATCCCCCAGCTGTGAAACCAGGGCAATAGCAGTACCCACCCATGAGTGCATACGCACATGTAAACGGCTTGGAATCTAGCGGGGCATGCTGAACATGTCAGGTAGGTGTTAGCTGTTATTGTCCTTATTTTGCAGATGAGGAGAAAGAGTCACAGAGAAGTCAGATCACATAAGCCAGCCATCCAACTCTGGCACCTGCCCTGGGGGCCTCTGCCTCTTAGTGATAGATACACAAGTGTCTCTGGCACACGCCTGTTGGTCAGAGCCGTTCTCTCCTGAGGGAAGGCACTCGGTTTTCTCCTTGCACAGAAAACTCCACTGCACACGCTACTACATCCACATGAACTTGTTTGCTTCTTTCATCCTGCGAGGCGTGGCCGTGCTGGTGAAGGATGTCATCTCACACAACTCTTACTCCAAGAGACCCAACAGCGAGGAGGCGTGGACATCCTTCCTGTCAGAGGTGCACCCCCACACCTGGTGGATCAGCCCCCGGAATGGGAATCGGAAGGCAGGGAGCTGGGGCTCCTGAGGGGAGGAGGGCGATAAAGGGTGTCAGAGGCCTTGGGGTTTGACAGGCATCGTCTGATGTTAAAAAAAAAAGCCTCCTGAGGATGGGGCAGGGCCAAGGAAATCACAGCAGAAGAGGGGGCTTACGGAAAGGCCTTGGGTGAGACACTTCTCCATCTGTAAATAAAAGAAAGACTTAAACCAGATCACCCTTCACAGCATTTCCACCGTGAAATCTGCATCTGTTGACACGGTTTTTTTCTTTATCCTGTTAATAATAAACGCAGTAACCTGTTAAACTGCCTTTGCATTCCTGGAATAAACCCCACTAGCTCTGTTAAATTCTTCATCTTATATTGCTGGATTCCATTGGCTAATCCTGTCTTTTGTTTAGCATTTCTCGCCTATATTCGGGAGTAATTTTCTTTCCCTGTAATGCCTTTATTTTTGGATAGTTTATGCTGACCTCTTAAAAACAAATCAGACTTGTTCCTCCTTTTTCTATTCCTTGGAAGAATTTATTTATGGTGGAAATTATTTCTTCCTTAAATGTTTGATAGATTACACCAGTGAAGTCATTTGGAACCAGAGTTTTCTTTATTGAATGGCTTGTAATTATCAACTAATTATGACTCTTACATTTAGATTTTCTATTTCTTCTGGTGTCACAAGGTAACTTGTGTTTTTCTAGGAATTTGCCTACTTCATCTAATGTTTCAAACTTATTGGCATTATATTGTTTATAGCTTCTTAAGATCTTTTGAAGGCCCTTTACATCTAGAGTCGTATTTCTTTTTTCATTCCTGATATTGGTTATTTGTCTTTCGCCCCTTGATCACCTTTTCCAGGATTTTCTCAGTTTTACTGAATTTTTCAAAAAACAAACCTTTGGCATTGTTGATTCTCTTTATGTTGTCTATTTTATTAATATCCACTTTCATCTTTATTACTTTTCTATGTAGTTTCTTTGGGTTTAATTTGCTCTTCTTTTTCTGACATAAATATTTAAAGTAATTGATTTTCAGCCTTTTTCTTACATAATCAATGCATTTAAGGCTGTGTCATGCTAAGTGTGGTGTTAGCTGCATAGCACAAATTTTGATACGCAGCATTTTCCTTTCATTCAGTTCAGAAATAAGTTTTAATTTCTCTTCTCATTTCTCCTTTGATTCATGAGTTATTTAGAAGTGTATTTCCTCTTTTTTAATCATATGAAGATTTGGGAGTGTGGCCGCCTCCCTGAGCCGGTCACCGAGGGTTCGAGAGCGAGGGGAGCGTGCGGGCGGGCAAGGCGGGGGCCGCCCCCACCTTCTGGGGTCCGGCGGGGGAGCCCGCACCCACTCCGGCGCTCTGCCCCCTGCAGCTCTCCGCCGCCTCCTGCCGCGCCGCCCAGGTCCTGCTGCACTACTTCGTGGGGGCCAATTCCTCCTGGCTCCTGGTGGAAGGCCTTTACCTCCACAAGCTGCTGGAGCCCACGTTGCTTATTGGAAGGCGGCTGTGGCCCAGATACCTGCTCGTGGGTTGGGGTGAGTGACCTGAATCCCCAGCCTCTTTTTCTGGCGACTCTTCAGAACACGGGAGCCCAAGAGGGCCTGTGGTTGGAGTTAGAGACCCAGTGGGACGGAAGTTTGTGGGACAGATAATTCCTCAGTGACAAGAGCCTCGGAGGGCAGGGCCGTGTGGGAGTTCAGCCCCTGGAGTGAGTGTGTGTGTGTGTGTGTGCGCGCGCGCGCGCACCCAGGAGCAAGCAACGCACGCGCACACATGCACAAGTGCCAATAAGCCCAACGCACGCGTTCAGATTGGGGAGGTTTTTGGTAGAATCAGAGGCCTCTTCTCCTGCCCTGTCCCCAGCTGTCTTGGTCTGCTCAGGATGGCATAACGAAGCGCCCTGGACTGCATGGCTTGTACAATAGGCCTTTACTTCTCACAGTTATGGAGGCCGGGAGATGTGAAATCAGGCTGCCAGCATGATTGAGTTCTGGCGAGGGCCCTCTTTTTGGCTTGCCCGCAGCTGTCTTCTTGCTGCGTCCTCACCTAGTGGAGGTGGGGGAGGGAGGGGAGGGAGCGAGAGGGGCAGCTCCCTGGTCTCTTCTTACAGGGACATTAATCCCATCATGCTGACTGGCACCCCCTCCCACCCGCTTCCACACCCAGTTACCTCCAAAGTCTCATCTTCAAATATCACCGTAGAGAGGTGGGGCTTCAATATATTATTTCTGGGGGGACACAAACCGTAACACCAACTAAGTCTTCGAGATGAGGTCTGGAACCCCTGTTACCACAAGCTTTTGGGGAATTCAAGGCTGCAGGATTCAGAGGAAATAACCTTAGAACTGCAATTCAGAAGATTTTGGTTAATGTCACTGTACTCACTCCAAGCTGCTCTGTGGCACATGGCATCCTCTCCACTCTCTGGCTTCCCCGACAGTAAGGCCTCAGACAGGTTCTGTGCCACTCCAGTGTTCTCACAGTCCCCGATTCTGTGATGTTTGGGCTTTTATAGAATTTAACCAGCGGTGCTTGGCCCGCGCGGCTGGGGCGGGAGGCAGGCGGGTCTGGCCAACCGGCGCCTCACTCCATTCCCCCTTCTCTCTCAGCCTTCCCGCTGCTGTTCGTTGTGCCCTGGAGCATCGCCCGTGTGCAGCTGGAGAACACAGGGTAGGTCATTTACCTGTTTGCTCACTTTCATGAGCAGGAGATCCCCAAATATGCCCAAATACAAAGATATATATCATTTTCCTAAAAAGACTATCCATCGCCTTCCAGTTTGGCCGTCTGAAATATGCCTCGGACCCCTGGCCGGTATAGCTCAGTTGGTTGGATCATTGTCCCATAGGCGAAGGGCTGCAGTTTGATCCCCGGTTAGGGTGCACACCTAGGTTGCGGGTTTGAGCCTCCATCCCCGACCCCTGGTCTGAGTGCAGACAGCCCCCGGCCCTGTCACAAGCGGAGGGGAGGGTGGGTAAGCAGTCAGTGCTTCGCTCCCTCAGGAATGTTTCTTTCTCTTTCTTCCTCTCTCCTTTCCTCTCTCTCTAGAAGCAATGAAAAATAAGAGTCCTTGTGTGAGAATAAAAAAAATATTAAATAAAATGTACCAAGGAATGTAGGTAAAATAATCTAAGATTTTTCTTATAATAATTAGTTCACGAATTTATTAAGTTACACCTGAAAATCAGCACCAATTAGCACAGAATTTACTCCATACCTTATCAGCAACCCTGCGTATGTAAGGATATAGGTACAAGGATAGTTATTGCCTCATAGTTCAAAGTAGGGGGGAAAAGCAAAATGAAATGGGTGAAAGTGGTCAGAAGTTTCAAAATTCCAGTTTAATTAAGTCCTGGGGATGTCATGTACTGCATGGTGACTATACTTAACACTTCATCACTGTACCTTTGAAAGTTGCTAAGAGAATGCGTCTGGGAAGTTCTTATTACAAGACAAAATTTGTAGCTCTGTGAGGTGATAGATGTTAACTAGACTTACTGTGGTGATTATTTTATAATGTATTCATATACTGAACCATTATGATTATGATTATGATTATGACATTATGATTATGAGGTGGAGATTGCCTCAGAACCATTATGTTGTACTCCTGAGACTAATATAATGTTAACATGTCAATTTAAAAAATAAAACAAAAAAAATCCCTAAACAGACCAAAAAAAAAAAATCCCTGAACACCCATCAATACTGGAATCAATGAATAAATTGTGGCATACCTATATTGTGGAATATTCTATACCTTTTGGCTTCTTGAGACTGAATCTCAACAGCACCTTGTTAAGCCTGTTGCTGAATAATGCAGGTCATGTGATCCCATTTTTTCCTCCAAATAATCACCACCCCAAAGTCCCCTATATAATTAAGAATTTACCTATCTGAGAGCACAGAGACAGTGTAGAAGGATACACACCAAGCTTTAGCGCACTTTAATGGTAAGAAAATCGGCACTGCTATACTGGCAGGAAGGAATTTGAGTTTGCTCTTCTCCTTTTCCGCCCCTCAGGACAAAACGATGGGCTGAAGGCAGGTGTTGAGTGTGAGCCTACTTTGTCCAGAGGGCAGGAGGCTTTTGAATTGAACCTTATCTCAATCTAAAGTCTTTTACTGTCTGCTCTTCGCTGTAGGTGCTGGGGAAAGAACAAGAATAAGAAAATCTGGTGGATCATCCGAGGACCCATGCTCCTCTGTGTGGCGGTAGGGAACATCCCATGCATCCCTTCTCCCCTCTGAGCTCAGCCGCTGTGGGGACCCCACCCCCTGCCGTCACCCGCAAGTTCCCTGGCTCAGGATGTGCCCGAGCCAGATCCCTTGAGCTGGGGGTAGGATCTGTGAATGAGAAGGAACGAGTTAGAAACTCCTTGTTCTGCTCTGGTTCAAGGACCTAAACTGCAGGTCTACCATGAGCCTTCTCTTTGTGTCTTTAAAGTATGTATAGACCTGTGCTCAGTGACCATGCATTGAATTGTTGCAATGGGTACAAGGCCTTGGGGATACGGGCCTCTTCGGTCATGGATCAGCCCAGGGGCAGCAAAGCTATTGGCTCGGGTCTTAATACCATTAGTAGGAGGGAGGGGAGACCAAGTGAGCTTCTTTCAGAGGAGGAAAACGCACACCCACATCCACCCGCAGCTGCGTTGGGCGGGGTTAGAGTCGGGAGATGCAGCTGCTCTGAGACCCTGAGGAGGAAGAGCCTTTATTCTGTGTGGCCCAGGTTTTGGTCACGATCCAGAGTCCTAAAGCTCTTTCAGATGACAGCTAGTGAGAATGAAATCTGCCCAAGAAGCACAGGGAAAAGACAGGGAGTTAGCGAACAGCAGGGAGGACTAGCGCGGTCCTGGAGGGAGGAGGAAAGCCTCCCTGCCTAAACAAAGCGGCGCCGACCCGGGAGCCCACCGGCCAGGCGTTGCCCTCTGTGCTCCACCCCCTTTCCTCTCCAGGAGGTTGCCGGGATTCCCTTTCTGTCATTTTATGTAAATAAGGTGGCATTTGTGGTTTCATGAAAGAAAAAGCTTGCTTTTATAGAAGGATGTCAATTATCCATCAATGATAGAAGGCAACTCTCTGCCCAGACCTGGGTATAACAGGGAGGATAAAAGTTCATAAGTGGCAAGAAAACCAAGAGCGTGGAGATGCCCTAGACAGTTCCAACGCCTGTGTCACATCCAACCCGGGCGGTGGCGGATGTGCTACTGGGAATCTCCCCCGACCCCCACCTGTCACTCCACACTCAGCTGAGAGCGTGTGCTCAACGTGAAGTCTGACCACATATGTCCCAAGATGAGATGACAGAGCATTATCTTGCCCTCGTAGGTGAGAACGTGGCTCCAGGAAGCACCCACAGAAACTAGCACACAGCACGAGTCCTGCCTCACCCTCACTCTGTCTGTCACTTCTCCGCAGCCACACCGTGCAGCTGTGGTCCCAGCACCCACCTCTTGGCTAGGCCCCTCCATGACAGCCCAGTGACATTTACTGAGCGCCTTTTACAGCTCGACCCCATTCTAAGTGCTTTGTGGGTAGGAACTCATTTACTCTTCCCACAAACCTCTGAGGTAGGTGCTACTGTGATGTTTCTCTTATTGGTGAGGACACTGAGGAAATGAGGAATCACTTGCTTAAATTCACAGAGCCAGCAAGTGGGGGCCCTGGAGCACAGCCCAGAGGGTCTGACCGCATGACACACCTATACCCACAATTCCAGGCTGCTGCCTCCAAAACAGGTACCGCCTCCAGCCCTTGCACCTGGGGTACTGACTGCTGCAGGCTCGTTGGAGCATTGGTGCCTTGCGTCAGATTCTCCCTGGGTTTGAACTCCCTCCCTCTGCTACATCGCCCACCTGGCTCCTGTACCTAGACACCCACCTCACAAAGTAGAAATGGTCACGCTCTCCTTTATGCCCTTCCTGGACCCTGTACAGACTTCTGCTGCAGCCTCAGCAATGTTTTATTGCGAGTATCTGTCTAAAAGCGGTCTGCTGGCACAGTGTGTCCCCTGTTCCGCTCATCCTGGCAGCGAGCCTGAGCATGTGGCAGGCTCCCTATACACTTTGGGGAACGTTTGTGGCCTCCACGGCTGGGCATGGGCAGACTTTCGCTAACCAGGCAGAACCAAGCAAGATGGAGGCCAGCAGGTTCAGGAGGCTCATTCCAGCTGGATCCCGAACATTCACTCTGCGGTCTGCCAGCGGCCTCATCCTTCTCAATCTTGGTTGCTCTTGGGATCACCGCGGTGTCTTTAAAAATTCTTTTGCATGGGTCTCAGCCCCAGAGATTTGTGTTTCACTGATCTCAGGTGTGGCCTAGGAAGTCTAAGGTATGGTCAGGGTTGAAAAGCATTTGCTACATTCTCCTTGCTCAGAGTATGGTCACCCGAGCCCTTGTTATAAATCCAGGTTCCCCCGCCCCAGCCCAAACCTGCTCAATCAGAATATACATTGTGACGACATTGCTAGGCGTCAGGCGCCCACTGAAGTCTGTGGCTCCCAAAGTTGGCGATCACGAGAAAACCTCACGGTATCTAATCCCCTGGAGCGCCACATCAGAAATTCTGGAGGCAGGCGCTGTTCTAAAAGCTCCCAAGGGATTAAAACAAACAGCTGGTGCTGGAACCACTACTCTGGACCTTGCTGCTTGGGCGGCTGTGGCTGACCGACCTGTGTGCTAGTCTCTGTGGGTGCTTCCTGGAGCCACATTCTCACCTACGAGGGCAAGAGAATGCTCTGTCATCTCATCTTGGATAAAATCACCCTCACATGCCGTCACTTCTACACCTCCGGTCACAGCCAGCTCCACGTAAATGGCCGCAGTCACCTGAGCTTGCCCGTTCTGGCGTCCACCTTCTGCTGCTGCTCGCTCCACCCAGTGGATGAGACCAAGGTCCCTCTACCACCACCCCAGCTGGAAACCCGGGGGGCCCATAGCTTCTGTCCTCTTCTTTCTGGCAACCTCCACTTGGAAGGTGTCTTGTCAAATCCTTCTGAAGATCCCTCCAAGCTGCCTCCTTTTCCTTGATCTTCAGTTCCTCCTGCAGACCGCTGCAAACACCTCCGGTCCGGTCTCCCTTCTTCATTCTTGCCCCCTCCCCCCGGCCCCGCAACCCATCCTCTGTATTGCAGCCAGAGAAGTCTTTCTGGAGCAAAATTTAACTTTGTCTCTTTTCTGCACGTGGCTTTTTAATGGCTTGTTGTCGCCCTCAGGCTCCTTGGTGTGGTAAGCACGGCCATTCCCTGCCTGGCCACCCCGCCGTGGGCATCCTTGCTGTATTTGTATGGAGACACTCAGTTTCCTAAACCCGTCCTGGTGTCCCCTCCCCTCGTGCTTTGCACATGCTGTCCCTCTGCCTGAAATGCCCACGGAGGGCCCCGTGTCCGCCCAGTGGACTCCCCTCCTCCTTGGAGACGGAGCCTTTTAGTAATCTCTTAATCTCCCAAATGAAGGAAAGGCAACAGGCATGTCTGGAAGGGATAATTTTACAGTCATCCCCAGGCCTGTAGAGGTCTTACAGAGGATGCTGCTGAACTATTGTTGTCTGTGTCCGCAGGGACTTGGACAGGAGGAAATGGGCTTGAATAGAAATGAGAAAAATTCCCCTTAGTCACAGGAAGAACATTTGACTCTGGACTGGTAGAACATTGACTTCATGGGAAAGGGCTTTGGGTGGCCCATCTCTACCTCTCCTGAAGAGCAGGGAGCTGAACCTGACACATTCCCAACCCACTCTGTTCTGGGATTCCAGGATTCTTCTGTACACTGGCTTCGTGGGTCCCAGGAGAGTGGAATTTGTGTCCTGTGAGCCATGAAAGGTAAAACAAAGGCTGTCCAGTGGAGCGAAAGGAGCCCAGCTGGGAGTCAGGAGGCTGGGTTTCATGACTAACTGAAGCGTGTTCTTTGGCTAAAATTAGAGTTAGACTACACCAGTGGTTCTTTTTTTAAAAAGTTTAATTTTACTATTTTTAATCTTCACCCAAGGATATGTTCATTGATTTTAGAGAGAGAGGAAGGAAGAGAGAGAGAGAGAGAGAAACATTGATCAGTTGCCTCCTGTGTGGGATGACAATTCGAACAACTGAGCCACTCAGACAGGGTGATTCTTGACCCTAAAGACGTTGACCATATCTGGGCAATTTTTACTTGTCACAACTGGGGTTGGGATGCTAATGGCATTTAGTGGGTGTAGGCAGTGGATGCTGCACAACACCTGCAGTGGACGGAACAGTCTCCACCATGGAGATCCATCCTGCCCCAAATGTCAGCAATGCTGAGGTGGAGGAACCCTACACTAGACAGAGGCTGCACATTAGAATGACTCAGGAGGCTTAAAAAAATACCCAGTCTGGATTTCACCTCAGATTGATGTAATCAGAACTTTTGCCATGTTGGGCTTCCTTAGCACTGGAATTATGTTTATTTGCTCTCTTGCACCTTCATTTAACATTTTTTGAGCACTCTTCCTGTTCTTGGCTTGGTTCTTTCCAGAAAAATAAAAGCATATGTCCCTATAGGTTCTGTCCTCAGGAAATTCAGGGTCTAATAGCTATCATTCTGAGACTCATCAGACCATGACTGAGCCAACCAATAGCTGCCTTCATGTTTGGTCATATGACCCAATGTTGCAGTTTTGCACTGACATGTGTAGATGTAACCCCGTCTTCAAAATATAATTCCTTTAACTACAATAAAGAAGGAACTTCCTGAGTTGGGTCCCTGAGACCACATGGAACAGAGCACCCCCGCCCCCGGCCCCGTTGCTGTAGATCATGAAATAAGCAAAACCAACCGAACAACAAACAGCCCTCCCCATCTTTACTGTGTCAAGAAAAAAAGAATTTCCTGACCCAAAATATTTTCTTGTTAAACTGAAGTACTAAAAAGTAACATAATAATCAAGATCAACACGATAGCAATCAGAGCACTTCACAATCTTTCTCATCTTGGCCAAATTTGGGTCTGGTGCCTATTTTCCGGGGCATGGAGCAGAGGTTTGTGGGGAACGCCAACTGTGCATGGTGAACAGAGCAGCGGAACCAAGGAATGTTTCCTATCCCAGACTCAGGCTCCCTGGTGAGCATCCCATTATTACAGCTGGGCTTCTGCCACCAGCTCCCAGACTGGGTCTGAATTTGTTGATCAGCATCTGGATTAATGTGGATGAATGTACATCGTGCTGGATTTCCAGACATATCAGCTCACTTTAC